TGGGGAGGATGCTAGGGAGATCATTATAAAGTTGAAAAGGGAAGTTTCAGAATTGAAGGTATGCAAACTCTGGGAAAATGAGCAAACACATAGCTTATGTTATCTTCTCTTTGCCTAATTTGTTCGTATTTGAAGATTCAAGACTCAAAATTTCTTTTGGTATTCAGGATCAGCAATTTGATGTGAACCTGATTACAGAGATGCTTAAGGACAACTTGAGGGTTTTATGGAACAACGTATTCTTCTATGAAAGCTTTCTGAAATGACATTGCTGTTGTAACCACACTGATGTTTTGAGTGATGTAACGAACTTTTTTACCCCCTAGTGATTTTCTACAAGACCTTTGAACTCATGTTTGGTTTCTTCACGAAATCAATATTTGTGTTCCCTTTTAGCATTATTTGAGTGCACTCTACTAATGTATATGTTAAGAGAAGTGTGTTTTAGCATTGAGTGGTCTGACGAAGGCCCTGTTTACTTTACCGGTTTGAGTTTAGAATTCGAGTTTGAACAATAAATAAATGTTTACATGAAAAGGAGCTTCAACTTCTTCTGTTTGGATTTCCTCCACTGCGTTTCTGGACAAAGCAAAGTCATTATTGAATAGTTGTGATGATCATACTTAATGGTCATAATTATTAATTACAATATCACAACTATGTTATATTATATTATAACTATTATATTATATTTATAATGATAAATATAATTACAATGTATACTACATAATATAAGATATTATTATAATATTAAATATGATATATTATAATATACGTATATAATTATAATATATTATATTATATGTTATAAGATATAATTACATTATAATATAAATTATTATAATATAATATAAATTATATTATTAATATTAATATAATAATATTTATCATTATAATATTTAATAGTAATGATGGAAAAGAAAATTAAAAGAGTTTGGAATGAACATTTCTTTCACGTGAAGAAGAAATGATAATTTACTAATTTGATGGAAAAGTCTTTTTATTTTGAATGACCATTTCTTAAAACTAACTAAACATGATAATAAACTTTGATTCCCTTTGATTCCTTTTCATTCCCCCAACCAAACACACCCACAAGGTTTTACTGGTCCTTCTCACGTCTTGCTCCTGCCTCCTGATTTAGATCCTTTTGTTTCCTTAGCAAGACATACAAATCTAACTCTTGTGCACCAATATGTAAATGACACACTGATAAAGAATAAACTCCCTTGTTGATTCAAACTATGTTAATAAAGTCGTCACTTGTCAAGCTGGAATCACTTCAGACGGAGCCGTTTCTGCTCTTGCTTTGTCTTATTCGTTTTTTGGAAGGCAAACTGTGACCACAACATTTCCATCAAACCATGGACGTAGCGGTGTCATTGACGCAAGAACTTGGAAGTTCCTGAACTATTTAGCCAGAGACAAGGTCGTTCATAAATTTTGAAGTAACCAAACCTTGAAAGCATTAATAGATAAACTGTGTAGGGATTAACATTTTCTTGAGACAATTAATAAGGAGATTAGTAGTCAGTAGGCAAACCATTAACAAGAGTCGAGAAGTGAGGAATGACCACCCCCCTTGAGTGCACCTTTACTCTTCTCCAAACAGGGGAAAAGTAAGCAGTAATAAGTTGAAAGGACGCAGGGCCAACCAAACTCCTTACCTTCTCGACAAAGGGTAAACAAAAAGTTGATGAAGAATAAAGTGAAAGTGCACAGAAGCCAAAGAAGCGATCAAACTACAAACTAAAGCATTATAACTTCAATCTCTTGGTAGACTTTCCAGATTTTTCATCATTCTTGGTGGGTTATGAACGTTCTCAAATAATTATAATTCCCTTCATCATGGCTTACATCCCACCTCATAAACGACACTCAAAGGACAAAGAGACGTCTTCACTGAGTCCAGTGCTGCTCTCTCCTCTGCTTAACAAAAACCTGCATTTCAAGTCGTCAAGAACTAATTTTAATGCACAGAGACAGAGAAGTGGAAAAAATGTTTATGCAGAAAAGTCTATATACAGGTGGTTCTCTGTTGGTTTGGACGATCCTAATCAGTTTCCTGCTTCTGTTCATTTCCAACCTGTTTCCTTCGAATCTGTCGAGTGCAAAGTTGGTGAAAAGCCTCTAGCTTTGATCAATAGCGATATAGGTGAGATGTCAGTAATTGTTTTTCTTCTGCTGATAATGTTTCTATATTGTTGATTTTTTTTTTCTGGGTTACTCTTTTTATTTAAATATATTTATATATGCATATGTAATATATACTTTTTGATGTTGGTTTTGTTTGATCTTGCTTTACAGAAAGTAGCAGAGGGAATTTAGAGCGCTTTTCAAGAAACCCTTGGGATTTCATAGTAGACAATGTGATGGAAGATCTAGTTTCTTCTTTTGAACGTGTGAGGAACGAAATGGAGTCTCAGAAACTTGAAGAAGTGAGGCCAACTTTAGCTGCTAGATTTGGCAAAGTTATTTTTCGTGGGTTAGTGTCACTGTCTATTTTTATTGTTTTGGTTTTTCCTCGTTGTATATCATATTGAATATTTATATATTATGTCTGTTATATACATATAACGAACAGATTATTTTGGGTAAAACAATTGAATGCCCCTACCAGAACTTGTATGGCTGAACCAACCTGAAGGTACTTAATGAGTGAGAAATGTAATTTTTTCAGGAGCCCTTCATTTAACAAAGAATCAGTCACAAATGAAAACGCATTGAGACAGATGAAGAGGTCATTTTACACAAATATTCCCAAGTCATATATGGAATTCATACAAGAGGAAGGTGCCCCAAAGATTGGAGTTGAATTTGAAGAGGCGAAAGACATTTACCATGTCAAGGTACTTCTTTCAACACTGGTTTCCGTTATTATAAATTAACTGCCTTATCAAATTTGTCACACTTTCTTTTTGTCATGTAGTTGTCCGACACCTCACGACCAGGTTCAGTTACTTTTTGCAAGTGCATTGTGATGAAAGAACAAGGAAAGCTTCAACTGCACAAGGCAAGTTTCATCTTCCTACTTGTTTAGTTGTCCTCTACTTCCTACATGCTTGATTAGTGAACATACTTGGCACCCAATATGATGCTTGTTTAGTGATGCAAGGCAAGGCGCCGTTTATCTCAGCATGGTCATTTGTTTTAAGGAATAAGGCTCTGCATTTTGTCTTTGTTTCTCTTTTTATTGTTGTCGTTCGTGTTGAGAACTTTGCTGTTGTTTCTTTGCATTCCAAGAAGGCTTATCAGTCGTTTTGAGCTAGGGCAGATATAACTTGTTCTCTGCGGATTGCATTTTCCTTGGACTCGATTATTGCCACTTGCAGCTAAGCTCTGTACTACCTACTATCAATCAATCCAAACATGGGAGGTTGGAACATTGAATTCACCTTTCATTCGGAGTGTTTATCTCAGATTTTTCTTCATTTTGGTTGCTTCATCATGTAGCATTTGTTTGATTTCAATTTATGAAAACTGCAATTAGAAAAAATGTAGATGGGATTTAGTACTCAATAAAGATTTGAGGCTTGAGCCCCAAGTAAACCTTGTGAGTTTAGAATCCGTAAATTCTTTTTGCTCTACCTTTGCAGTCAAATGCAATCCTTTCTTTCTAGTTGTCATGGGTCAGGTTTAGTGAGGCTTACATCGAAATAACTTTCCCTCTAGATTGAACTCAACCAAGTGCGGCACATGGTCATGGACATATCTTGCATTGAGAAGAATTTGGATCTGAGGCTGATACTATGCACCAAAAGGATTATAACTGCTCCTACTGTAAGTTCCCTTTGTTTCATTGCAGACACTGATATAGGATTGAAAACTTTGGTTTCCTAACTTTTGCGAACAAGAAATATGCTGATAACTACTAAATGTCTTGGTTCTCTTCCAGGATGATGACATGAAGAGCATGAGAGAGTTGATTGATTCTGCTGTTCTAGATTCCGGAGTTAAGGGTGGGCTAAGATGGCCATTAGGGAAGGCAACTTCGGGAGATAAATTTAGCGTGGTTGGTGTCTGGCACACCATAACGAAATCATATAAGAACCCGTCAATGAGGCTAAAGATCAGAGACGCTGATCGATTTGATTTCAGGACTTCAACTGGGGAAGTTACTAGGGAGATTGCTATTAAGCTGAAAAGGGTAGTTTCAGAATTGAAGGTATCATTCCCTGTGGGAAAAGAATAAATCTTTGAGCTAACATATTTTCTGGGATTTTCTCTTTGCATAATTTGTTCATTTTTAAGATTTATAACTCAAGATTTCTTTCGGTATTCAGGAACCTCAATTTGATGTGAATCTGATTACTGAGATGCTTAAAGACGACCTGAGGGTTTTATGGAACTTATTCTGCTGCGAAAGCCTTCTGAAATGACATTGCACGTTGTAAACCACACTATGGTTGTGAGTAATGTAACTATTTACCCCCTAGTGATTTTCTATTAAACTTTTGAAACTCATCTTTCCTTTCTTCACAAAATCAATATTTGTGTTCACTTTAGTATTTCTTATTTGAGTGCACTCTGCTAATTACGTTAAGAGAAATGTGTTTTAGCACTTATTGGTCCAACTAAATCCAACCCATTTAAAGCCAATCTTGTTACCCCTGGTCTTATTATGTAGCAGAACCAGCGTGAGCAATTCACAATATTTAAATGAGATGTATATGCTGAATTTAGCCATCTTGAAAACGCCCTATTTCAGAGTACTCTTTACCTCTCTGACCGTTCGCAAGGAGAAAGTTTTTTGGAATTTACATGAATTGGTCTTTAAGGACAAAGCAAACAAAGTTTAGATAAAAAGGAGCTTCAACTTCTTTTGTTTGGATTTGTTCTCCGCGCTGCTTCTGACCAAAGCAAAGTCATCATTGAGCTGAGTAGTGATATTTCTAAACAAGGCATACAAATCCAATTCTTCTGCAGCTATATGCAAATGGAACACTGATAAAAATAAACCCTGTTGTTGGCTCAAACTATGGCAATAAAGTCGTCGCTTATCAAACTGGAATCACATCCAAGGACGGAGTCGCTGGTGTTGCAGCAGCCGATGAAGTACTTGGCTCTTGCTTTTTCTTCATTTTCTGAAAGAAACATAAAAAATGAAAAAGAAAACAAACTCTCACTGCAATATTTCCATCAAATCATGGACATAATAAGGGTGCTAACGTTATGAACTATTTAGTGAATGATAGTGTCGCTCATAAATTAACTATACCTTGTAAGCATTCGTGTTCTTCCAAGCCTTGTCCATCTCAAAAAAGACCATATCAATATTCGGGCGGTCTTCGCTTGATTTCGCAACGCAGAGGACAGCAATCTCAAGGATTGATTTGAAATCCGCCTTGTTAAACTTCCCTTTGAGCCTTGGGTCCTCAAAATCGTGTATTGAACGATTGCCCAAACTCACATCCTTCGCCTATACAAATTTGGACAACACAATATTAATCATATACTTCCTCCTTCCTCAGTTTCTCCGCAAACAAAAACAACATTTGATTGATAAACTGCAATCCATACCTTCCTTGTGAGATGGTCTCTAGCATTAAGATTCAGCTCAATAACCTTCTGTCCTGACAAAATCTGCAGAGCAACGATGCCGAAACTATAGATGTCACTTGCACTCGTTAGCTTGGCATTGCTTACGTACTCGGGGTCCATATATCCTATGGTTCCTCTAACGTCAGTGAACACTTTGCTTTCTTCAATATTCATAATCTTTGCCAACCCGAAATCCGAGAGCTTTGGCTCCAAATTCTCGGTTAAAAGGATGTTGGTAAGCTATAAACATCAAGCAAATTGAATAATTATTAACATCATCATCAGAGATTAACATGTAATGCGACTAATTATCTTGTCTCTTAATGGTTAAACAAATGAATATACATATTTGTCATACCTTGATATCTCTGTGAACAATACACCCTTCCATGAAATGGTGGAGATATTTCAATGCATATGCGCAGTCTCTTAGAATCCTTACTCTTTTTTCCCAGTTCAAAGCAGTGTCTTTTTCTGGATTAGACACAAGTACATTCAAATGAATCAATGGCAAATATTTAAACAATTATATTGTAGTATTAATTACGATATGCGAACAAAAAAAAAAGGTTCTATCATAGCAAAGTATATATTCCTACAAAAAACATGATCTAAAAGTGAGGCGAAATAATATTATATCATATTACTTACTCAAGAGTTGTTGAGCAAGATTGCCTCCAGCACAGTACTCATAGACAAGATAATAGCAATCATCTTCCATGCAGAAACCAAAGAGGTAAACCAGGTTAGGGTGTCGAATCCTCGAAAGGCCTTCGACTTCGCGTCTGAAAGACTCGGCCTCGCCGTTCTGGTTCAAGTACTTGATGGCCACCTCTTGGCCGCTGGGCAAAATGCCTTTATAAACATGCCCTGCACTTCCTCTTCCCAGGATTTCGTTCCCAAAGTAGATGGCGTTCTCAATCTCTTCCTTGGAGAATCTATACAAACCAGACCAGGTATTTTTGTACTCTTTTGATTTATTTTTGCCCCGTTTCGGGTCAATCTTCTTCTTCGTCACATATTTTATCAGCACAATGATCAACATTACTACCATAACCGCTATTAGGATTGCTAATACTGCCCGTCCCAAAGAATCTGTACGTATCAAGCTAAACAATTTTAGATGTTATAAATTACAATGTGTGTATATATACGTTTGTGTAGAAATCAAACTAATTATGCCTTACTTGTAGCTAATGGCGGAGCCTAAAGTTTTTTAATGGTGGCACTATTGACAATATATATATATATATTTATTAAATTGATTAGCCATAATTATATGATTATTTCAATTGTCAAGTGATAACACAAGATAAACTACATGAAATCATTTCGAGTGTGTACTTACTTTTGATCTTGATATAATCCGGATCTGTTAGCAAACAGAAAAATTCGCGTCATAAATAATAAGATTATAATGCAGCTGATATAGAAAGAAAAAGAGTGGTATAAGAATTAAAGATTGACCAACTTCCAAAAAATACAAACAACCCTTACCAAGCTCTCTTAACCGAGTCAAACACTGAAAGAAATCACCATTGACGAAGCTATCGTCGACGCTCTCCGACGCAACAGAAACAACAGCAGCCACGGCACACATGGCTTTTTCACCTTTCATCTTGTGGCTGCCTGACATCATCATTAGCTCATCCCTTAGATTCATAATTGCCGTGGTGCAATTAGAGCAAGCATCGTTAAAATTTCCGAATCCAGAGCAGGCTTTTATGGCGTCTTTGTATGTTATCCGTTGCTTGACGTCCTGCAAAGTTAAGCTCGTGCAGGGGCTGGTGCCGTGGAGTAAGCGGCCGAACCCGCAGGTGTCTGCTGAAACTGACGGTTGCCGGAGAAAAGGGCCGCTGCATTTTTCCCAGAGGCCTTGCTCAAGGAAGATGGCGGAGTTCTGCGTGTCGTGTGCGCGCCGGGCTAGGGCTCGGGACAGGGTGGTGAGAGCATTTTGACAGCAGAGGGTTGTGCGGAGGCTGCCCCACAGCTTGATTCTCTGTTGGCTTCCGATGCATTCTCCGCTTGGTTGGTATGGGTATAAAGTGAAGTTCAACACGCAACCCCCTGCATGCATGCAATGCTATTACTATATGATATATATATATATATATACTACGTTACATTAATTGTGATGAGCTATATATTTTGACCATCCAGCTTCTAATTTCATTCCAAATTCCAATAATAGCTTTTGGGAATTGGGATAGAAATTTGTTTTGGTTGCTGTAGAAGTAAAAGTCAGTTGAAGTCTTTTTTTTTTTTTTAAATAATTTCTTTGTTAATTCTTAAAAGTAACTGTGAAAATATATATACATCTTACAAAATATGAGTTCTAAACTTTTATCAAACCTAATTCAAACGAAACTAGGATTATGCATTATGCCCAAAACACGACTTTTGCAGCTTCCAAATGCAATACCAAAAACCTTTGGCTAAACATTTATACCTGAATTGTAAAGAGTATATACTTGGTCATATTGCGTCAAGAATTTCAGATCATTTTCAGGAACTTCTCAGATTCATTATGGATTATGGAAACGACATGAATAAGAAACGGAGAAACATAAATCTAAAGATTATTTCCCTTTTGAAAAAAAAAAAAAAGAAATTCATTATATATGGAAGAAATGCCAAACTATAACTTAAAGGTTAGCAAAGTATACCATGTATAAGTATTGATCATATATTTAAACTAGATACAAACTTACATGTCAGTTTCAACCAAGAGAAAAAAAAAAAAAAAAAAAAAAAAAAAAAAAAAAAAAAAACTCAAATATTGTCAAATTTACGTAGTACTTGACAGAAACTAATATTATTAACTTACAAGGAAAACAGGGCAGACGCGGTGATAAGAATCATGATTTCCTATATTTATAAGTACTCTATATTTCCAACTGAAAAAAATATGTATATATATATATAGAGAGAGAGAGAGAGAAGAAGAAGAAAAAATAGTTTAATAGTATACCGTTTATTAGGACAGGTGGTTCAGTTGAGGGAGAAGAAATATCCTGTGAAGAGCAGTGGCTGAAAAGGGTAGCAACCCAGAGGATTAATAAAGTTGCCTTGTAAAAACTGTTCATTGATTTCATATCTTGCATTATTACAACTGATTTTTTTGCCTAATTTACTGACTATAAGATGATCCACTACAGCCCATGAGAAAGAATAATGGTGTGTTGACAATGTGGTGGTGATCACTGAGTGATCGCTGTCTCTGAAGAAACTAGGTTGCATAGAAAGTAGCAGAAAATTGACCGAAATTTTTCAGATGAGGAAGTGGAAGCTCTAATATATAAAAGCCAAATTCCTTGTGTTTGCCGACAGATTACATCCTTTGTCTGCTTATTATGAATACGGCTTCGTCTTTAACTTGACATGCCTTGTTATCCACGTTAGGCCTATAATTAGCCTAATTACATTTTTAAATTTATATTTAATGCTAGATTGCAACTCTTTGCAATTTCCGCTATCTTGTTTTTATTTATTTATATTTTGTTGAGGCTCCGGTATCTTAATTGGATGCTATAAAGTTGTTACCATCGTCCTCTATATATACCTTCAATTCGATCAATCCTCCCCTAATTTCATATGAGCTCTAATTTATTAACTAATGTACACAATCACAAAAACAAACATATATTATCCATCATTGAAGGTTCATTGGGTGAAGAGATTGAATTTGAGTCTTTGTTTGGTACGTAGATGGGAAAAGTGGAGGGAGGAAAGGGGGAAGGATCAATGTAAGGATTATAAGAGAAAAGTGTGCAAAATGAATTGAGACAGGGATTTGACATCCTTCCAAGTAGGGCTCAAAGAGGTGTGGTTTGGTGCGTATTGAAGGCTTTTTTTTTTTTTTTTTTTTTTTTTAAATAATTGTAAATCGCTATTTTGCTGTTTGAAAAATTCTAAACCATTAAATCTAACGGTTTGAAAGCAACGGATTTAAATTTGACACGACTTCAAATTGTTATTTGGGATACCTCAATCCATTATATTTTAAAGTCGAAAAAAGTACATGGTTTATTACAATCTTGCATAGACTTATTATATTATGTCATTCTAAATAATTAAGTGTCATCACGACTTTTTGTTGACAATTGTTCATTTTTTTAGTAAATTAACATATATAATATTTTTTACTGCTTGATCAGTTGTATTTTTGGTTTTTTCCCTTTCAAGTTAAAATGAGGGCAAGGTTTTGTACATTAAATTGGTATTCTTTTTTTTTTTTGACGGACATTAAATTGTTATTCCAATATTAAACTTCAACAAAGTCTAATTAACATATATTTTTAGTCTAATAACTATTAACGAATACAATGAATTACAAAATAGAAGGAAAAGAAAAACAAAAAATTGAAAGTCAAAAAGCTACCCTCTGTTTCACAGCGAAACTTTGGAGAAAGCTTTCCTTTCCACACGTCAATTGGTTATTTTGTCCATATTGTCCATTCCGTTGATACTTGATAAATGGCAAAGCGACGTCGTTTCATCTTAAGAAACTGACAACTCGTCGTATGCATGAAAGCAGTGTCGTTTTTGCTCTTTCCTCTTTCATGCCCAAAAACAAAAACAAGAACAAAAATCGAAAACGGATTTAATACGTGACGTGAATCAGTTCACTTCCACACGATGTTGTTGCTCTTATCCGTCAAGACGCAGTCAAACCAAACCCACCAGCTTCCGATTACACACAACACTAATTCATCACCACCCCTTTGGCTCTCTCATTCTTGTTTATTATTGCATCAACTTTTCTTATTTTCCGTATTGCGCTTCTGGTAGCTCCTGCAATGCGCAGCATTTCCACGCCAAGGTCTGCTCTCTGCCCATTCACTTCCCCTCTCTCTCTCTCTCTCTATATATACTTATATATATATATATATGTATGTATTTATGTATTTACATTGTGTTCTTCTTTGGCCTAGATGTGACCATTTCTTTTCTGGGTTTTCTATATTTTTTCTGTTTGGAAAAGTTTACCATATAATTTGGTCTGGTCTTTTGTAGAATATTGTTTAGACTTTAGAGCCTTAATTATTTTAGCCATAATCTTATCTAGACAATCAAATGCTAAGTTTTCATTGCTGAATCACGCTGTTTTGGTATAGAAAATATATAAGGACATGGTATCAACTCTGAACTGGTATGTATTAAAGTTCACTCAGGTGACATTTGAAGCCAAAACAATTAACAATGGCAATGTCTGCTCGTTCAATCTGTGTTGGTAACAATGCACGTGTGAGGCCCGGACTTGCAATCGATGACAGGTTTCACCGTCAAAAGGCGGTTCGTTTTTGTGTTGTTGTGAAGTTCTGGCCCACTAGCAGAAATCCTAGATACTTTCATTTGAACATTACAAATTCTAGTAGAAAATTTTGTGGTCTGGGTTCCAAAGGTACAAGGCTGCTATGTAGTAGATCAGAGGATACTACTTCATCATTTGCCATGAGTGCTAATAACGCTGAGGTATTTTTTGAAACATATCTTGTAATTAATACCGGGCTATGAGAATAGTGTGATTAACTTTGCTAAATTCTTTTACTTTTTCTATATTTTGCTTCACTTATAAGGTGAGAGGAGTTGCGAAGTATCTGGTTGAAAAAGTGCCAAATGCTCTTAAAGAATGGAGACTTTTACACTTGATTAAAGCAGTTGGTTTACTGGCATGTGTATTGATGTTCATTCCATCAGCCAATGCTGTTGATGCTCTCAAGACTTGTGCCTGCTTACTCAAAGAATGCAGGTAACTCAATCGAGAAATGTATAATTCTGGTATTTGGGTTTTTATTTTATTAGAGTGGAGATTTACTAAGTGTTCATGTTTTAGTAAATTAGGTCTTTTATACTTCTTTGATTCAATTACAAGAGCTTCTTATGTCAGGGTAGAACTTGCGAAGTGCATTGCGAACCCGTCCTGTGCTGCCAATATTGCTTGTCTTCAGACTTGCAACAATCGACCGGATGAGACCGAATGCCAGGCTAGTTCCTTATTTTTGAGTTGGTCACAGCATTGTTCTAGTTTACTTCAAAGAAGGTGACTTCTGGTTTCATATTATCCTTTTCTTTCATTTTGGCAGATTAAATGTGGTGACTTGCTCGAAAACAGTGTCGTAGATGAGTTTAATGAATGCGCAGTGTCACGAAAGAAGTGTGTTCCTAGGAAATCTGATGTGGGTGAATTTCCAGTCCCCAATCCTGCAGTTCTTGTTAATAGCTTTAACATTGAAAATTTTAGTGGGAAGTGGTTCATCACAAGTGGCTTGAATCCTACCTTTGATGCTTTTGATTGCCAATTGCACGAGTTCCACACAGAATCTGGAAAACTTGTTGGGAACATAACGTGGAGAATACCAACTCCTGATGGTGGATTTTTCACTCGATCAACTATGCAGAGATTTGTGCAAGATCCTAAGCAGCCTGGAATATTATACAATCATGACAATGAGTATCTTCATTATCAAGATGACTGGTAAGTCTGTATCTCCACGTTTCTCTTGACTATATACCGAATTTCCCTGAATCAATTAAGTGTTAGAATATGAAATCTAATGTTGGACCATCTCCTAATAGATTTAACTTTTAAAAGAATCGGTAAACTAACATGGTATCACAAACATGGTATCACAGTAGGATGTATTGAGTTCAACTTTTGCACCCTCCGCTTTCTTTAAACCTATCCACATGCCAGGCCTTGAGCTTTTAGGATAATTGGTAAACTAACATTAAGTGCAAAAAACTCTTCTTGCTCTTTGATAGATTTGGCTATGTTGCTTTTGCAGGTATATTCTATCATCCAAGGCAGAAAACAAACCAGATGACTACATATTCGTATACTACCGTGGCCGGAATGATGCGTGGGATGGCTATGGTGGTGCTGTTGTATATACAAGAAGTTCTGTTTTGCCAGAAAGTATTGTTCCCGAGCTTGAAAGGGCGGCTAAAAGCGTAGGCCGAGATTTTAGCAAGTTCATCAGAACGGATAATACTTGCGGGCCTGAGCCTCCCCTTGTAGAGAGACTAGAGAAGAAGATAGAAGAAGGAGAGAGGACCATTGTGAAAGAAGTTGAACAGATTGAAGGGGAAGTGGAGAAGAAGATAGAAGAAGGAGAGAAGACCATTGTGGAGGAAGTTGAACAGATTGAAGGGCAAGTGGAGAAGGTGGGACAGACTGAGAGGTCACTATTTCAGAAGCTATTAGAAGGGTTTAATGTGCTTAAAGAGGATGAGGAATATCTCTTGAAAGGCCTTAGCAAAGAAGAGATGGAGATATTGGACAAGCTGAAAATGGAAGCAAGCGAGGTCGAACGTCTTTTTGGACGAGCATTGCCAATCAGAAAGCTTAGATAAGCAAAGAAAAGATGAGCTTATTTGATACCAAATTCTTACTCTATACTTTTTTGAAAATTGTAAGCGATCAGTACATCCTTATTTCAAGTTTTTAAAACACTATACACAACATTTTTTTTTTCTTTTGATTTTCTTTCCTTATTGGTTTTTCCCCCTAATAAATTTTTACAGCTTTCTTGGTATAATAATCCCTGCAAAATTCAAATTCCATCCTGCTCTAAGAACTTCATGCTTTAGTTTCCATTCAAGTTTTGAACAAACTTGGCCAGTGAATTGCGCAAGTATGCTTGATATTCTTCACTGTCATCAACTTCCGGTTGGTTCTTGGAGAGATTCTTTGGCTTGATTGTGCTATGCTGATTCTCTCTTCGCCCACTTATTCTTGGTGGACTTGGCTGATCAGTAGCTTGGCTACTGTTTGCGTCTTGTGACGAACAAAGAGAGGGCTTCTGTCTGTGATCACAAGCCGTATCAGTAAGAAGATCTCCTTCCAGTATTTTCAATACCTGCACGGTTCACATAATTTACTGACAGGTTTGCGACGTACAAAACGAGAAAGAAATGAATATTACTAAAACATATAGATATCTAGTCGGTTAGAGAAGTGAGAAAACCTTTGACATCCTTGGTCTCTTTTCAGGGTGGGGTGAGATGCAAAGATTGGCAGCAACCATCATGCATTGTACTTCCTTTTTCACATAATTGTTTCCCAATCTAGGGTCTATGATCTTATTGATTTTCATGCTTTCAAGCAATGGAGAGCCCTGCAGCTTACATAATGGTTACAAGTTAATATTTTCGTTTCATCATAGTTTTTCTATTTCTTTTACAAGTAAAGAATAAAGAAACTTGCCCACTCTGATAGAAACTGTTGCCCTGTTCTTCTTGAGAATTCAGTAACATTAAAGCCACTTAGGAGCTCCAACAAAACCACCCCAAATGCATACACATCAGCTTTCTCTGTTATAAGTCCACTCTGTGTGTATTCAGGTGCTAAATACCTACACAAACATACTCGAAGAAAGGATTCTAGTAATTTACTTATATTGCAAAGATTTTTTTGATTTGGGAGGACTTAGAAGAGTTTTAGTACCCTAATGCACCGATAACCCGCGTCTCCTCAGCTGACTGGCCATCCACTTGCCATCTTGCAAGTCCGAAATCTCCTACCTAACATACACAAACAACATGAGTGACTGAGAAGGTCCTAAAGTGAAGGCAACAAAAAAAAAATAATAATAATAATAAAATGAAATGAAATAAACAAAAAGAGGGCATTCTGATGAGAAAACAGACTGACCATGGGTTCAAAGTCATGAGTGAGGAGGATGTTATTGGGTCTGAAGTCTCTATGTACAATGCAACCGACTCGGCAATCTTCGTGTAGATATCTCAGTCCTCTTGCGGCTCCTATTGCAACTTTCATCCTATTTTCCCAAGACATCAGCTCTTTTCTCTCTGTCCCTGCAAGTAATAATGTAACTTGGCTGTTGCAGTAATTCTGTTTTATGTTGTAACTCTAAAAGAAAACCAAAAGTTCTAATGAAATGTTTAACTTACCATACAAGTGTTTGTCTAATGAACCATTGCAAGCAAACTCATACACCAGAAGCCACTCAGTTTCGGTGCAGTAACCCACCAACATCACTAAGTTTCTATGCTGTGCACAGCTCAACACTTCAACCTCGGAGCAAAACTCAGATGCCCCTTGAGCACTCAACATTTTATGTTGCTTCACAGCAACAACCTGCCCATCAGGCAAGACCCCTTTGTGTACAGGACCGAAACCACCTTCTGCCAAGAAATTTTCACTTGAGAATCCATTGGTAGCTCTTTCTATCTCTTTGAAGCTGAACTTCCTTGGTGACTTGCCAAAAATAGGAGCATTATGCTTACATATAGAACATAGAGGTGGAGGGTTTGGTGGTTGTTTTATGTATAGGGACATGGCTTTTCTTACGCTCGATGTTCTGTTGATGGTTGGAGAAGTGGAAGACTCAACAAGGGGTTCGGTTTTGTTATCGGATATGGAGTCTCTTATAGTAATCATATGTTTAGAGGAGTGTGAGCTCCCAAGATTTTGCCTCAAGCTTGCTGAGTCAACTGATCTTCTAGGTGGAACAATTGCCTTCTGTGTAATATTACCATAAACTTCTTCCATTTCTGTTTCAAGAAGTTTCACTAGTCAACAGCAATTAGATGTCGAAAATAGTAGGATCTTTAATTTATGCCTTGTAAAATAAAAGGGAGAGTGCCATACCAATTTTACCTTTTGAAATATCAATTTCTGAAATACCATCAAAGCTGTTGTTTTTCTCATACAAGGGATTATTGGCCAATAACTTTGGATGTGATTTGCCAGTGACAAAATTTGATGCCTTATTAAATGGTTGGAATTTGCTGTGCAAATGAGACTTTTTGAATGTTACTTGTGCTTCCACTTTCTCATGGAAGTACTGGGAATTCAGATCAAGAAAGTTCTTGTATGGAATAAGATTGCTTGTGGAAGGGCTAGACAATGAGCATGACATGTCTGTATCGAAAATGGGACTCTCTGCATCTAGGCTGCTCTGAGTTGTGACATTACTAATGTAATCATGAAACTTCCTAGGAACCAAACCAGACATGTCATTTTCTGATTCGTCGATTTGATGGTTTCCCTTATTAAAGCTCTTGACTGTTGGTAGATTTACTGCTTTCAGGATTTTCGGCATGGCATGATCCATGAGCACAATATTGCAATTCAGTAGTTTCACGCAATAATCACTTTCTCTCTTCAAGTGTCTGTAATTGAAACTCTAGTTTTAACATACGGTACTAATCATGATTGAATGATCACTATTTCTAAGAAAGCTAAAATGTTTTGCTTGCATTATAAGAATTACCTGTCTAGAATTACCCAAGTTGCTTGAAGCTCTTTAGCTTTCAAAGCAACCAAACTCAATTGCACATCAGCCACAATTTTCACTTCAGTGTGCACCTATGGCCAAGAAAAGTTTTGAATTAGAAAGAGCTGCTAGTTTTTTTCAAGTTTAATCCTTTCAGGAAAAGGAATGAAGCATATTTATTACCTGCATAAGATCATGAGCTGAGCATAGTTCCTGCATCATATGAGAAAAGACATTGTTGATTCTCTCGAAAACGTCGTGGTGAACTCCATTAATGAGAACTATATCATCAGAAGAACTCCCCTTTTTGCTGCAGCCTATACCGAACTTCTTTAGCAGGCCTAATAAGAGAAACAAATAAAACTCAAAACCAGTTGCTAATAAGGAGAAATCGAAAAGACTATGCAACAGAATTTCTCAAAGGAGAAGGATTTACAAGAGAAGAACTGAGACGTTCTCGAACGATGTTTTTGAACATTTGGACTTGCGAGAGAACACGTCTGTGAAGGAAGAAGGGCTAGAAGGATTAGAGAGTCTGAAGCACTTGCCACATTACGCACTGCCCATTCAAGTGCACAATCTGTGATCTCCTTACTTGCATCAACTGCCACTAAAATTATATCTCCTTCCATTTTTTTTTTCTTTTGCATGGAATCTCAAGAGGGATATTGTGCATATGCCTTGGTCATTGTTCCTTTCTGTCGTGCCTTAATGTACAATACTTTAACTTGTAAAAAAATTGCATCTTTATCATAGATTTCATTTCCTAGTTTGACAAGGTTAAGTTGGGCACTAGAGGAAAGACCAGAAGAAAAAACATGGCCTTGCATAGAATGTGACGCAGTTTCAAGAAGATGCACAAGGCAACACTGGCAAGGATAGAGAGAAAACGATTGAAATGTTCTTTTTTCTGTCTGTTAGCTTTTGGAGGGAGATGCTAACGTCAATCATCAACCAAACTTTGGAACTTTCACTGAGACTCTTTCATTACAATTATCACACATAATATAATCTTTCATTTCATGACAAACTTTTGAGTTTTGACCTTTTCTATATGGTAATATTTTTTGATACCCCAATCGGCTAAGGCCCTACAAACTAATAACATAAAATTGACCACTCGTTCAGTTGATGTGAAGCACTTATGTTTTAACATATCAAGTGTTTTAACATATTCAAAAAAATTTGGAATTTTTTTGTTTGGCAACAACTAACAAACTACTTTTTAATAGTAACTGGTTTAGGGAGACCCCGGGACAGGAAGACCAATAATTGACTTGGTGGGGCACATGGAGATCCTTTTTCTTTGATCCTTTTTCTTTTTTCCTTTTGCAGGGAGATGATGATTACTGACAAGTAATGAAAGTAATTTATGAAATAATTCGTTGCAGTTTTAATTTTTTTTTCCTTTTTTTTTTTGCAACTTTAAAATGATAAAATCTGACTTTCATATATATTTTTTCCTTTTTCCTTTTCATTTTAACACTACCTCTAAATCAGAAAAATCCAAGAGCCGTTGACATTGAAATGAGCTGTAATTCTGCTAGCTGTAAAGGACGCGGTCAATTGTATTATTGGAACTACAATAGAAAAACTTAATCTTCAAATAAAATATTAAATAAATATATGGAGTAGATTACACATCTAAATTATTCTGTATCAGTTTGTGAACGTGGGGTTTTGGCACCATCCATAATTCCTACTTCTGAACTTAGTTGGAAAATGAAATTTAACAAAGATGATTCTATTCATCTGGCAAATTTAACACCATTCCTACAATATTATAAATTGTCAATTCGGAAAGTTATACACAAATGATAATAAATTCACCAAAAGCTAAAACAATACAAAATCAAAGAAACAAATTCCAATTCCTTGGAGTCACCACCCTGTACATTCCTCCTTTGTGTCCTATCCGGCTCAATGCCTAGGGTAGTTACAAAAACTCTTATCACATAAAGGGGTGTTTTCTAAGTTTATGTATAGTATTTCCTTTGAACAGAACAACATACAAAAGTTCCTGAAACTCAAAAAGCTGTTTAAAAAAAAAAAAAAAAACAAATCTTGTCCTCTTGAAGCTTTCTTCCCCCAAAATCTTCTCTTTTTTTTTTCCCTTGGAATGTATGTGTCTATAAATGTGCTTGAAAAGACATGGGTTAGTCCAAAATACCATGTCACATAATGAAAGCATGAAGATTGATATTGTTATCATTATTATGAAGAATAAACACTTTCATCCAATGATCCTCTGCTGCTTATGTTGAGTAAAGAAACAAACCCATCTTGTGATCCTATGCTGTAGCTGTGATCGAGACACACACTCATACGTGGCGACAAATTGCTGCTGTCGCGGCTTAATGCCAAGTTTCCACTCCGCAACGACGCCTTGCTTCTCCGGCGGCTTAACGAGAAGCTTCCATTCCTCGACTCCTTGGTGCTGCTACGGGTAAGGGGTTCATCTTCGTCCAAAGAAACACTCCCATTGCTGGATTTCCGGCTGCTCCTCTGGCTATTGAAATTCGAAACCGGACGGTTTGACCCGATGCTGCTGTTGCGGCTCGAAACACTTGATGCCTTGCTATTAGTACTAGACCCGCTCTGGCTTGAAGAAACGCTTCCATCATCTGATCCGGAGCTGCTCTTTTGGCTCGAAGAGATGCTTTCGTTGTCGTCGTCCTCCGACCCCGCCATGCTGCTTTTGCGGCTTGATTGCCAGTCTTTGGCTTCGTCTCTGGACTTCACATCCTCGTAGTCGGAACTCTCACTCTCCTGAGACTCCGAGCTCTCACCGTCCTCGTCATCCGAACAATCGCTTTCCTGGTCTTTCGCATTTTCATGCTTTGAACTTTTACTGTCCGAATCCTTGCCATCTTGAGGTGTAGGAGCTGTTTGGATACACTCACTTGGTGTTGTGGAAAGAAAGCTTAGAGTTGTTACAATGTCGCTGATTAGCGGACGAGCCGATGCTTCGTCTTGCAGGCACATTGCTGCTATGGCCACAACTTGGTTCAAGTCCTTTTCTGGAAATTGCCTGTTGAGCAGTGGATCTGCCAAATCCGGAAACTTCTTCGGATCCCGGAAAAAGGGCTGTGCCTGCTCAAAACACAAGAAGGCTTTCCATCAAAAGACTGCATGCCTTTTCATCTTGTTTTATATTGGCTAGTTTGGGATTGCTTTTGTTTTCGGAGTTTTCAACTCTACGAAGAGATACACTACAGATAATGCATGTTTCTGAACGTTACATTTCTCTCAAATAAACAATATATAAAATTGACAGAACTTAATAAATCTACGTCCACCTACTAGTCATACCCTATAAAGAATTCTCACTAGTTTTTAAAAAAAATTATTTTCCTTTTTTTTTGTGTCAAATCATAATCTAAAACTAATCTCTTGCTTGCTTCTCAAAACTGCTATAAAGCACATTGATTTTTGTGAAATGTATACTGGTTTTGCTCAAATAGTCTAATTACTTTTGACAGCAGAATCAAGCCCAAACTGGTCCTTAAGAAGCATGGAAGATTATGGAAGATGATTTAGTTACCCAAGAAACTAGATTTTGTTCCTCGTTTGGCCTGGTCGTGTCAACGGCTCTTCTTCCAGTGATGAGCTCAAGTAAAACGACTCCATAACTGTATATGTCTGACTTTAGTGTCAGTTCACCTGATCTTGTGTACTCTGGAGCAGAGTAACCATATGTGCCCATCACCCTTGATGACACATGCACCTTATCTCCATCCTGTGCATTATTAGCCACTCCAAAATCAGAGAGCTTTGGGTTAAAATCATCATCTAGCAGCACATTCGCAGATTTCAAGTCACGGTAGATAACCGGCGGATTAGCCGTCTCATGCAAGTACTCCAATCCTGTGGCTATTCCAAAGGCAATTTTAATCCTTGTGAACCAATCTAATGGCTTCTTTTCTGGTCCCATATCTGCGCAAAACAGATATATATACCAGGGTAAAATGGGCTTCTCATATTGATGGAGCTAGTCAAAACAAACTTGTCATATAGTTACAAACAACGTAAATCCACAACTGACTTCACTTTAAGGCGTAGAGTTCAAATATCCACCCGTAAGTTAAACAAACAAGCAACAAACAAACTTGTCCAAATTCATGATTGACGTGTCAAGATAAGGATATACATACCAAGAATATGGTCTTCTAAAGAACCGCCAGACATGTATTCAAACACCAAGAGTCTTTGATCACCATCTGCACAGTAACCAATGAGGTTGACAAGATTTGGATGGTGTAGAAGACTTAGCGTCAAAACCTCTGACAAGAACTCCTTGTTTCCATGTAGACCATTCCTATCAAGTTGCTTAATAGCCGCCACCTGTATTATTTACACAAGTATTTATATTATCATTAGCTTGGTGTTTATTGAGAGTCTGATCAGTTCTGTCTGAAGAAGAATTTTAACACAAAATCAACGACAGAATTAAGAAGATATTGAGAAAGCTGAAGCTATAATACTGACCTTGCCGCTAGCCTTAATTGTCCCTTTATAGACTCTTCCAAATCCACCTTCACCCAAAAGACATTCTTGACGGAAGTTCTTTGTCGCTGTGGCGAGCTCGCGGAAAGTGAATGTCTGCGCATCTATATTGTTTTTATCTTCTTTGTTACCTTTGTCTTTTGCTGCAATTCAATTTTTGTAATAACCCAAAAAAAAAAAAAAAAGGAGCAAAATTTAGGGCCATAATAGGAAGCAAAATGCTAAATATCACAAGCGGCAATAATAACCAATTCTTTATTGAAGTTGCCTCAAGAAACTAGAAATCAAATTGTACCCTAGCTACTAGGTAACAAGATAGAAAACAACAACCAAAACCAAGCATAAGAAAAAGTGTACGTCATGAACCGAATGTGGCATTACGCTTCTCATGCACGCAAGTTATGTATTTAGATTACCTCAAAAACATAATTCAAGTCGTCTTAAATTAATTAATTTTTAGGGAACATACCAGATGATTTTGATGCTTTAGGTACTGCAGATCCATTCTCATTCTCGGAACTCGATTTCTTACTTCTTTGTGATTGGAAACACGGAAAACAACAACTCATCATTTTTCTCCAAGCTCTTGGATGAAAAAAATTTAAAAATCCGCCACAAAGAGTATTGCTCATAAAAATATCTGATCTTGCCCCTTCTTGTTGTACAAAAGCTTCGTTTATAGCTTCAAAACTCAAAATTTGTTAGCAAAGGGTCCCCCATATACAATTGAAGGACCCCGCCGGTGGGGAAGGGCTTTCGGAATCGGAGAAAAATAACAAAAGGTTAACAAGGAAACCATTTTTATTATTATTTTTATTTTTTTTTTATTTTTTGTGTGTTTTTGCAGGGGTGAACAAAAAATGAGAGACTTTTCCTTAGACTTCTCAGGAGAAAAATGAGGGAGATTGAGTGGACATTTTGGGAGACTACTTTTGAAACCATGAAGAGAGAAAAATGTGTGATTTAAATTTGGTTAAGCAAAGGAGAAAATGCTTTGTCCATTCTATATATAGCATATATATGTATAATATTGAGGGTGTCCAGATAGTTCAGCCTTTGGAATTTCTGTTTAACTAGCAGTTAATTTAAGGATCCTTTGACTCATACACGAACACCATTCGATGTCCCACCCAATTCCCAACTGTAATACTCAAGGACATATTAGTTTTCCATTTGAATTAATTAAAACGGTGAGTTAAGTCTTATGCTGTGACTCATACACGAACATGATTTAAATTCATAAACCAAACGCAACAAACAAAGAGGATTAGGAAAGGGGGGACCTTTCTTTTATTGGGATAGATATGGATTTTTTTTTTCTCCTAGTCTCTCCATATTAGGAGAATTTGAAATTCAGGGTAATTTCTGAAGGATTTGAAAGCTCTAGCCTAATTTATTTCCCTTTTTTTTTGTTTTTTCTCTCTTCTCAAAAAATCATGGGTTTCAAAAGCTCCGTTCATTTCACCGATTTGAGTTTAAAATTTGAGTTTTGTTATAGTAAAAAACTCTCACAAATAGTCACATCTAACTTTTTTACTACAATAAAAGGCTCTCACATAAAGTCACATTTCAACTCAAATCAACGAACTAAACGAACCCAAAATCTATCCATTAATCACTTATTCCTCTCACTCCTTCCACTTTTCTCCTACTAAACAAGCTCCTAAACAATACTTCATAGGGGTGAAGAGGGGAGGGAGAAAGATGGTGGAGAGATTTGGGGACAAAAAAAAAAAAAAAATTGGGTTATTTGGTAGGAGAAAAGAAAATGAAAGGAAACAATCATGTTCACAAAATCATTCTGTTAATCCTTCGCTCCTCTCCCTCCATGCACTTTTTCCTCCTACCAAAGGAGCTCTTATATAGACAAACATATGGATTATACAAATTCGTCAGTAAATTATTTCTTTGTAATTATTAAAAAATAAACTTCCTCTTATGATAATATATGATCCGGTGGCCAAGCGTCCATGTTAATAACAATATACTGTTACGCATTAATTCAGGCAAAGCTTGATCAGAAAATCAAAGCTAATGACATCAACAATCAATTTTAACTTAACCTCGCTAAAAGAGAATTGTTATAGATAACCATTTTCAACATTCACATGAACCGTGAGATCTTGGCCTTTGCTAAGTATGATTTCAATCTGCACATTATTATGATCAAAATACATATTAGTTGCAATTTACTTGAACCTTGCAAATGTGAAACTATAAATTTGTATTCGTGTTGAGAATCTTCAGAACTAATTAAACGCCATATACAGGTTCGTAATAATATGCAAATTGAAATTATTGTTCTTAACCATTAAAGGACTACCAAAAATACTTATAAATCAAGTTTGAGGGGCCACTATGGGAAGTTCCAAAATTTAGGAGCCATGACGTGAATTGAGGAGATGTAAACCTTTATATTTTGGTGCAGGTTCTGAATATATATATATATATATATATATACTGTGTATGTAGTTAAAGAAAAACCAAGAGTATTCCATCAAATTACTTTGCAGATTCTTATGAAAACTGCGAGTAGATTATTTATGCATTAATTATCGTAAACGTTTTCACTTCTTGATCAGAAAGAACATGCATGTGACGTGGGCTAAATAAAATAACTCTCCCAAATAAATGGAATATATATATATATATATATACACACACACACACACATATACACATATCTGTGTGTGTGTGTGTGTAGTTAAAGAAAAACCAAGAGTATTCCATCAAATTACTTTGCAGATTCTTATGAAAACTGCGAGTAGATTATTTATGCATTAATTATCCTAAACGTTTTCACTTCTTGATCAGAAAGAAAATGCATGTGACGTGGGCTAAATGAAATAACTCTCCCAAATAAATGGAAGGCGCAGAATGAAAGAAAAAAAACAGAGCACAAACAAGCTCAAAAGCAAGTAAATAATGCGCGGCATGTTGGAACAAAAAATGGCTGTATATCTTTCGATGTGCCAAGGAGAATGGCATGCATTTCAAGGGGAAAAAGAAAAAGGAAAGAAAAGCTTCATACAAAGCCATTGGTTGCCACGTCTGAAAGTTGCAAATTCAGACGTCAAAAGACAACATGCTGCTCATGCCATCGCCTAACATCATATATTATATGTCTGTATTGTGGCTTTTTGGTGCTTCAAAGATATTAGTTTTTTTTTTCTTTTTCTTTTTGCTTTCTTTTTTTTATTTTCTCACATTTTTTTTTCTTTTAAAAAGACTATATCAATAACTACTTGTTCTCAAAGGGTAGCAATAGTTTTTTTTTTTTTTTTTTTTTTTTTTTTTCCCGACTTTGGGAACGCCATCTTATAACTATCAACCACATAAATTCGTTCAAAACACTCTATCCATTTAGAGATGGCAGTAGGAGACTTTCTAGCCCCAGTGGGAGTAATGACTAGCGTTATAGGTCGTTGGGCGGCCGGAAGGTTGCCCGTCCCATCGATCAATTGCTTTCCTGAGTACATATGCACTTGGCTTAGCCAATATTCATATTATTTCTTAACTCGCCCTCAAAATTATGAGATAGAAGACACACAAAATTAGATGATAAATAGAGTGGTACGACGTAGAAAACTCTCCCAATGGAAAATTCCCAATCTGACCATCTCTCTTTAAACAGCGATAGGGATGAGAAATCATTTCCTGCCCTCGTCCCGCCGCGCTGCAAACCCTAACATCCATTCATATGTGATTTTTTAAAGTGATCATTACACTCTCACACCTTCACTTGCATGATTATCAGAGATAATTATACTATATGGTAAATTTTCATACATTGAATTGAATAATTTAGCAAATTTTTAAAATATTTTAAAAGAGCAAAAATTACATAGCAACAATGATAACGATATCATATTTTGTATTATGGAAATACAATGGTTTCAAATTTTGGTATTCTTATAATATTTTAAAATTTTTACTAATTTTAAGTTACTCTTTAAATTTTCCTGCATGCATAAAGAGCTCGTGATATTATTTAGTTCAGGCCTAAAGCCTACACTATTTTATATTGAGAATTACTGAACTCATCTTTAAGAGTGTTTTTTTTTTTTTACTAATATAATTATTTAACTAAGAAGATATTAATTAAGAGTAAGGAGTAAAAATTTAGACACGTACACTTTAAAAGGTATTTGTCTCTTCTTTCTTTTTTTTCCTTTTTTTTGAACTTTTGAGGATGATATTTTTACTCATAAGCTATCACTTATGATATTATACTACATAACTTATCCTGTTTTGGTTCTTTTATCACAAAGGATTGATGATTATCGTCACACAGTTTCTTTTTAAGAGAGATTCAATTGATTGGGATTAAAACAACCATTTGATACGAGGGTCATTATTGTTTTCAACATTAGTATTTTTTTTTTTGTTCTTGATGGATTATTATAGTTGTTTGTATAATCACACTTTAAAAGAGAGCTATGTGTAACGATATTCTCCGTTCAAAATTAAACTGACATTTTCAATTGGATTTCTACTGCCAGTAAGTAAGATTTTTGCTTTATTTGTTTGGGATTAAATTGTCTTAAAATTGAAAGTTCACTGATTTGTTATTTTATCACTCTTATTAATTATTATTTGAGTTTTTTTTTTTCTAATTTTTGTCACCTCAAACTTTTTGGCTTCTTTTAAAAAAAAAAGAAAAAAAATTGTTACAATATGCTCAATTTTGCACAACCTCACGTTAAATTGATGACAGAAAACTCATGAGGACCAAAAGTCATATGTCCGACCAAATTTTTCCAAATCCAACTCAATCCTAAAGCACACCTTATAACTTCAAAGCCTCAATTTAAACTTTAAAGAGAGTTAGAAAAATGGAGCACATGCAACAATTTAAAAGGTTAAGGGGTAAATTGACAAAATTAAAAGTTGAAGTACAAGATATCAAAAGTCAAAAATTTTGGAGGGCAAAATTACCAAATACCTATTTTAAAAGGGGGCTTGAGAAAAGAAGAACAAAATCTAGACGGGCCCCTGCGTTTCAAAAAAAAAAAAAAAAGAACCGAATAAATCTCTCTTTTTTTAGTGGATGATAATCTGGCCGACTGAGCCTTCTTGATCGCCACGAGTGCCATGACTTAACCGCTAAGATTTCCTTCCCTTCCCTATATATATATATATATATATATGTACATATGTACACACACATTTACACGCACTCACTCTCTGTATCTGACATTGTCCGAAAGCAGAATTGATTTGATACTCCCGAGGATTTTCCATTTTCGCATGGTGCTGTTCATGGGAGCGATAACGGGGATGGAAACCGATAATGAAGGAGGAGAAGGAGGAGAGAGAGAGGCGGTGGTGGATTACTTCTACGTTTTGCCGGAGGGCTGCATCGCCGACATCGTTTCTCTCACATCTCCTCGGGACGCGTGCCGCCTCTGTATGGTCTCCACCACTCTCAGGTCCGTCGCCGAATCCGACACCGTTTGGGAGCGCTTCCTTCCGCCGGACTACCTCTCCGTCGTCTCTCCTCATTCCCTCCCTTGCACTTCCAAGAAAGATCTCTTCTTCTCTCTCTGCGATCGGCCTCTCCTCATCGAACAGGGCACAAAGGTAAATTCACTACTGTCCCGATCTTATCCGTTTGGCTCACCTTTGTTTGTTTGTTTGTTTGCTTGCATGAATTGGAATGGTACATTACCTAGACGCTCTTTGGAAAATCAATTCGATTTTTTCTCTTTTGAACGTCGGAAAATTTGAATAAAAATGGGACGTTTTTTTGTTTTTTGTATTTTTAATTGATATCGGAATTTATTTGGAATCTAGAATTCAAATGAAATCACTTTTTGATCCACTTTCTATATAATTAATTATTTTTCTTTTTTGGTTGGCGGAAGCCTAACTAATCGATTGTGATTTTGCAATTTCTTCCAATTTTTCTTTGCCTGTGCTTGGTTCTTCGTTTGGCAAAAGGATGATTAAACTTTTCCTCTCTTTTCTAACTACGACTTATCAGTAGTGTTAATGTGTTATATGATTTGTTTGTTTGTATATCTCATGTCAGCGAAGTAAAAATAAGAGTTCACATTTCCTTTCAATTAGATTACTCAATTTGGGATAACATTGAATCGTTACTGTGCGTGTTTTTGTTTGCTTTTGTTTTTGGTTTTTGATTTTTTTCTTTTTGGTTTTTTTTTTTTTTTTTGGGTTTTTTTTTTTTTCCATGTTCGAAGTGATGTACATCATAAAAATAAAGATAAGAATCCTGATATGTTAATACACTTTAGTTTCTCTGTCCGTGAGTAAACTAGTTAAATTTTTTCCTGTGTAAAAGGAGTCCAGTTTAGTGGGAAAACAGTGAGTTTTCTCTCCTTATCACCTTATGGACGTATAGAAACATCCATTTTTTCCCTTAATTAATTGAAGCAATTTATACATATCTATTTATTAGGCCGTATATTTGTTTTGTGTGAATCGCACGTGTAACTATAACAGCAAGGTGTGCAATTTGTCAAACTTTCCCGGCTTGTTTTACATTTCTCTGTTGTTGTACTTGCGCGTAATGATGTAAAGTACTGCTTAAAGTGATTAAATACTTTTTAAATTATATGTTTGTTTCCGTACAGTTGTATGTTCAGTGCACTGTGTATTTGGCCGTTGGCTATGGTCAATGAGTTATGACATGTTTGCCCCAGTAGTGTTTGGTTGTATAGTTTCTGCTTTTGTAGTTAGTTCATTTCGTGAACTTGATCGATGCGGATAAGAAGACTTACTATTTGTTTTCATTCAGATTTGGATTAGGCTATGTGAATGGGTTGATTGTTGATGCGACAGTTGCTAGTAGTGATAGAAATGGTGTTATAATTAAAGCCACGTGACATCGACGCCTTGATTTAATTTTCGATAGTAATTTGTGCTGACTTTGTCATTGACATTACTCAGAGCTTTTCCTTGGAGAAAGAGAGCGGGAAGAAATGCTACATGCTATCTGCAAGGGCGCTTTCCATTGTGTGGGGTGATACTCCCAGGTATTGGAGATGGGTTCCTTTACCTGAGTCAAGGTATTATTTCTCGTCATTTGTCTTCTTAAACTTTAGTTTTCTACAAATTAAGCATGTTATTGTGCTTAACGAACTAAATTCACCAACTCAAATAGGTTTGAAGATGTGGCTGAGCTCATAAGCGTCTGCTGGTTTGAAATCTGTGGCAATATTGATATCCGTATGTTGTCTCCATCGACATTGTACACAGCAAATCTTGTCTTCAAGTCAACTATGGGTGCTTATGGATTTGAACACCTTCCCGTAGAGGCAACAATTGGACTTGTTGGAGGAGAGACAAGCATGCGGTCAGTCTATTTAGATGCCGAAAGAGGACGGAGATTGAGGTACCGGATTGTCCCGAGGCGTCTGGGGCTTTATATCCGGAACCGTACTGTGGAGTATGAAACTGAAGCACCCCCGCCCAGAGAAGCGGACAATGACCAGAAGGTCCAGAACCATCCAAAGGAGAGGGGAGATGGGTGGTTGGAAATTGAATTGGGTGAGTTCTTCTACGATGGAAGACAAGAAGGGGAACTGGAAATTAAGGTTTCGGAGGTAACAAATGGTGATTGGAAGGGTGGTCTCATTGTTCAAGGGATCGAAATCAGACCAAAAAAGGGCTGATAAATGCTAAGAAGATGTCTTTGTTGTACTTCACCTTGCAGTGGAAACCAATTATGCAACCCAGCATGCCCACTGCTTCATTCTTTGTGTGATGTTAATGGGGATTGCGTTTCTGCGAGCCTCTCCTCCTTAGCAAATGTCCCCCTTTTTTCTTTTTTGCGTGGAAAGAAATATTGTTTCTTTTTAAATGTCAGTGAAGTATTTTCCCCAAATGTATTTTGATAATTATCATGTTGGAATCATCGGACCTTCTCACACTTTCTTTCTTATTATTACGCATTTCATATTATAACAATGATTATAGGAAAAACAACAAAAAATTACGTCCGCAAAAAAGACAAGTCGTTTTGTAAAACGACATCAAGTCTCTCCAATTTAGACTGCTTTTCGTTTACATTCGTACGAGGCGAGAGCTATCAAAGCAAAAGCAACCGATGGGGCAACTTCGTTTATGTCATAACAAATAATCGTCGTTTGTCCCTCGGGAATAAATGGCATGTCGTTTCGTTTCAATTTGAACCACATGTAGCTTGTTTTTTAGGAGAAACGATATCTCCTGCTGATTTTTTGAGCCACATGTAGCTTGTTTTTTAGGAGATACGATATCTCCTGCTGAACGAATGGCGCCTTTTACCAATCCTATAGAATATGTCGTTTTCTTGAGGCCAAATTCACAGAACAAAGGACTCCTTGGTTTTTCTTTTTCCGAGATAACGACATGCCGTTTCTGTTTACTTGGGGGATTGACGCTCGCTTTCTTGATCGTCAAACGTCGTGTCGTTTATGTGTAGCAGAAAACGACATGAAAAGAGGACGTGTCGTTTATTTGTTTTCCTTTTTGACAATGTCGTTTATTTATTTATTTTTGCTAACCTGTCAGTTTTATCCATTCCTCAAAATTTATTTCCAAGCAATCTAGTAAATTTAAAAGATTAGATTACCGATTCTCTTATTTGAATTAAATTTAATCTCTTTTGAAAAAAAAAATAAATTAAAGTTAAAATTCATCTTCAGCAAGCAATAAATAAATAAATTTAAAATTTGTACTCCACAAATTCAAAAACATCAAATGAAAAACACAAAATAGAAAGATACGAATTATAAAAATAAATAAATAACTAAAAAAAAACCCAAAAAAGGCTTTCGTTTCCAGTTTGGTTCATCTATCTTCCCCAGTGTCGCCGGACCCCAAACCAAAGTGCAGCGAGAAGAAGACCCAAAGCGCAGAAGCAGCCGTAGTATCCATCAACTCTCATCAGGTTTTTCTCATCTACTTTTCTTCCTTATCTCTCTCTTTCTCTTTACGCATTTTTACATTTCTTTCTCTTCGCTCATGACCTTCGGAATCAGTAATTTCAAAGCATTTATTTCCGTCTTCTTTCTATATTGAATTGATACGGTAATTTGTAAAAATACTGAAAAAATCTTAACGTTTCCTGGGCTTCTAAAAACAAGATGAACCACCAACTTAAGATTGTTAAGTTTGAGGCTTTGGGCATTGGAATCTCTAGATTGTCATGCCTGGATCCATTCCGGTAAGACCCACTTCGTGTTTTGCGAAGCTTTCAATGCCGGGCGAGCTATGGGAAACTTGGGTTTTTCATTTTTTTTTTCTTTTGTTTCAAACATTTTGGATGAGAAACATTTTACTAGTTACGGAATAAAGAATTAAAAAAGAACAGTTAGAACAAGAACAAAAACAGAAACGTTTTTTGAACTCATTGGAGACTAAATCCCATTGAGATTTCAATAGTTTCAACTTTCTCATAAGACAAGAAAAGGAAAGAAAAGAACTGAATCCTGAACTTTGGGTTTTTGTTTGCTGTTTTGTTATACTTAAATCCTGCATTGGTTTGACTGGGTACTGGTTGATTTTAGCTCATAGAATTTGCCCCGTTCACTTCGCTGATTCGAGTTTAGAATTCGAGTTGAGATGTGACTTTATGTGAGAGCTTTTTACTGTGACAAAAAAGTTAGATGTGATTGTCTGTGAGAGCTTTTTACTGTAGAAAAACTCAAATTCTAAATTCGAATCAGCGAAGTGAACGGAGATGTTTTTAAGCTCTAGCCAACTCGCTTGGTCAGAAATAATGCAGCGAAAGCCAAGCTTTAGTACCTATAAATCCAACTCAAGTAGATGTAGCAATAATTAATGGAATTCCTAAGACCTCGAAAAAGTTTCTAAAACAATCTGCCTCAAGATGTTTTTTCAGATTTTAGTTGTGCTATCAATGTAAGATTTTTAGATTTCTTGTCCTCTTTTAGACTGATACTCATGCTTGTTTTTGTGTGGCATTGATCTTTTGCATTTTTTTTAATAGCAAAAACGGAAACATCTCCTGAATTTTCTTTCACTGAATTAGCCGAGACACTAGGCAAATATCAAAATTAAATGAGAAAATATTTCTTTCTGTCCCCTTTTGTTGTGCAGGTGCCTTTGTGATCATTTTTTCTTGAATAAATCATTCAATTTGCATTGGTAACTGTCAACGGATTTGCTTTTGATAATGCTTCATCAACATAAACATCCTTGCCTCTTAGCGTTTCAGCGTTTTATTAGTTAGTCCTGCTACGGGTTTTCTCCTTTGGGCTCCTGGTTTCTATTATAACAGTTTGGCCAGAACCGCATTTAGCTGTGTACAGTGTGAGGAGATTGCTCTGAATCATGTGACAGTGCTGCTACTTGTTCTGGGATACATGGCTGATAATTCTTTAGCTGCACCCAACACTTCTGTTCTTGTGGCAGATCATGGATTAATGTCGGATCATTCATTAGCCACAGATCATGAGCTAGGCCTAGATCATGCATTGGCCATAGGGCAAGAATTTCCAGATGTTGAAACTTGCCGGAGAACGTTGAAGGATATTGCTATAGCTATGCATTTTGATCTCCGAATAGTGAAATCAGATCGTAGCCGGTTTATAGCCAAGTGCTCCAAAGTAGGTTGTCCATGGCGTGTCCATGTAGCAAAATGTTCTGGAGTTCCAACCTTCACGGTTAGAACCCTGCAAGCAGAACATACCTGTGAAGGTGTTCGGAACCTTCATCATCAACAAGCATCAGTAGGTTGGGTTGCTAGATCTGTTGAAGCACGTGTTCGAGATAACCCTCAGTACAAACCAAAGGAAATCCTGCAAGATATCCGTGATGAACATGGAGTTGCTGTATCTTACATGCAAGCTTGGCGTGGAAAGGAGCGTAGCATGGCTGCACTTCATGGAACTTTTGAAGAGGGATATCGCTTTCTTCCTGCATTCTGCGACCAAATAAGGAAGACTAACCCTGGAAGCATCGCTTCAGTTTTTGCAACTGGACAAGAAAATTGCTTCCAACGCCTCTTTGTATCTTTCCGTGCATCTATCTATGGGTTCATACATGCTTGTAGACCACTTCTAGAACTTGATAAAGCACATCTAAAAGGAAAATATTTGGGTTCAATACTTTGTGCTGCAGCTGTTGATGCTGACGATGCTTTGTTTCCGTTGGCAATAGCTATTGTTGATGGAGAAAGTGATGAAAATTGGATGTGGTTCATGTCAGAATTACGGAAGCTTCTCGGAGTGAACACCGAAAACATGCCTAGACTAACTATATTATCCGAAAGACAAAAAGGGATCGTAGAGGCAGTGGAAACACATTTTCCAAGTGCTTTCCACGGGTTTTGTCTGCGTTATGTAAGTGAAAATTTTCGTGACACGTTCAAAAACACAAAGTTGGTGAATATCTTTTGGAATGCTGTTTATGCCCTCACAACAGTAGAATTTGAAAGCAAGATTGCTGAGATGGTAGAGATTTCACAAGATGTTCTATCCTGGTTTCAGCAGTTCCCTCCCCGACTTTGGGCTGTAGCATATTTTGAGGGTGTGCGATATGGCCACTTTACATTAGGGGTCACGGAGTTGCTCTATAATTGGGCCCTTGAGTGTCATGAACTCCCAATTGTGCAGATGATGGAACATATTCGCCAACAATTGACGTCTTGGTTTAATGATCGTCGAGATATGGGAATGCGGTTGAACTCGATTCTTGTGCCATTGGCTGAGAAACGGATTTTAGAGGCAATTGCAGACGCTCGTTGTTATCAAGTACTTCGTGCAAATGAGGTTGAGTTTGAGATTGTGTCAACTGAAAGGACAAATATTGTGGACATACGAACTCGAATATGTTCTTGTCGCCGTTGGCAGATTTATGGTTTTCCTTGCGCACATGCTGCTGCTGCACTTATTTCCTGTGGGCACAATGTACATTTGTTTGCTGAGCCTTGTTTCACCGTAGCAAGCTACCGGGAAACCTATTCACAGTTGATAAATCCTATTCCAGATAAGAGCCTTTGGAAGGAACAAGGTGAAGGAACAGAGGGTGGAAGTGCCAAGGTTGAGGTGACAATACGTCCACCCAAGACTCGGCGACCTCCCGGTAGACCCAAAAAGAAGGTCCTCCGGGTTGAAAACTTCAAGCGACCAAAGAGAGTTGTTCAATGTGGTCGCTGCCATATGTTAGGACATTCTCAGAAGAAATGCACAATGCCAATTTGACATGAGTTAGCTTTGTTATTTTTCCATTTTTCTTTTTTGTTTCATTTTTCAGAGGTGCAATAGTTTCACTGTTATGCTTGTAAACTTGTTGTATTCTAACTTATTGTCGCAAAAATAAGGATTAAAGTCCTTTTTGGCCTTATCGCATCTGTTTGTAAATGCGCATAACATAGTGGTAGCACTTAAATTTCCAGGATTATACCAAAGCATAACGTACCAAAAACAAAAACAAGCGAAACTTTCGGGGATATCCAGCGTCCAGAAGTATTACTGAAGACCGCTAGAAGGTTCTGTACATATATTGCATTTACTTTCCTTAATTATAACGATATTCTTCTATTCAACAGCGTTTTTCCTTCTTTCTTGCAAATTCATGGTATAATCATCTCTGGAATTAGACCCGCGGCTCAACCGATTGATCTTGGGTGTAAATTAGATTGGCTACGACTTCTTAAATATTCACATGTTTCACTTTTAGACACAAATTAGACGTGGAATTTTCCACGAAAGTAGTATATTTGAATATTAACTTTCTAAAAGTGTATTCCTCTAATTCACCCTATCAAATTTCTAGAAGTGTATTGCTCTAATTCAGCCCTGATTTTGGCGTTTGGATACAGTCACTTGTAATTTGCTGAATATTGTGATCCAATCTTCAAAATATACTAGGATTTTGATTTCTAAAGGGCCACCGGCCGAGGTGCTAATAAATTGTATTGGGCAAAGCTAGTAAACTCATGGATTACTTGTACATGAAATTTAAGCTTTTGCTGATCTGATTATGGCAACAACAACAACAACAACAACAACAAATCAACTGAAGATAAAAGGAAATTGAGAGGGGACAAATGCTCTCATATTTCTCTTCTAGAAGGCATTCTTTCCGTTGGAACAAGCAAAATAGGATTCCAATCTTGTTGGCTCGGCTTATAAAATTTATATTCAACAGCGCAAAGATGGTGTTCAACAAATGAATGCGTTAACTAGAATGTCAAAAAATTTCACATCTTAGGCACGTAACAAGACTAAAAATTAAAGTCAGTATTCCATGCTAGCTTAATGTAAAATTAAAAAAATGGACACTCCGAGATGGAGGCGTTGTGACGACCCTCCTTGCAAGCTGTCACTGTAACTGAATTTTAACTTGTACTTACTGAGATTTCTTAAAATTTGCAGAACATTTTTTTTTTTTTTGTAAGAAGGAATAATTTCATAAATCGTAACAATAATTTCGAAAAATGAATCACTAAGTTTCTTAAAACTTTTCTTAATTTCAACTAAGATAAAACCTTTTAAAAATATCGTTCAAACTGAGTGGCATTTGAACTCTTGTTTCAAATACTCTTTAAAAGCATTTTTAAAACTAGTCAATACAATTGGGCCATCTAATTTGACTTTAAAACGAATTTCGTGAGAAATCTTAAATTCAAGTATTTCTTAAAGTCATTTCAAAATCAATCATTTAAACTGTCGTATTTAAAGTTCATTTATTTGTTGCATGCACTGTTGCAACGTTCTAAAACTTAAATACTCAAGACTAAGGTTGTTAGCTACAACCTCAGTTCTCTTAATATACATATGTACATATACTTTTCAAACATATTTGCTTGAAACTTTTGAATCATATATACTTATACATGATTTTATTTAAACTTATTGCAGAAGATTTAACTGTGAGCGGTATCCATTCCCATCTCCACCATTCGCCCGCCGCTCGCCACTACCCTTCAAGAATTGCTTTTAGGTTTCTTACCTACAGTATGAACATATCTGATTGAGCTTTCGCTTAGCAAGTAGGAACTATCTCTCACAAAATAACTGTAAGTTCACATGAATAAATATGTATGAGCTGATTATGCTTAATTATGGTGTCTTATCATAGTCTTATTATCTTATCTTATCTTTCTTACTGATGGGCCCGAGTGCTCGTACCACTTGCGCGCAATCATCGGGACGTAAGGGTTTGCAAGGTCCCCAACGACACCGTGATTTAAATTGAACTGAGTGCCTCCCTTGCGGAGGACCCTTTTTTTTGTTCCTTTATCTCCCTTGCGGAGTATGAGACTGCACAACTTACCCTTTCTTGGCCTTGTGCCTTAAGGGATTGATGGTTATCACAGAGTTACCTCATTTGCGGAGGCTGGTACGGCACTCAACTGAGATTATTCTTATAAGTTCCTCTTGACTTATTAAGGTGTATGCAATATGACATAGCATAGCATACTATAACATAGAATGTACTCAAACGCATATAATTCATGTGCACTGCTTAAGTGTATGCAGTATGATCTGGCATAGCATACATAACATTAAATTAACTCAAAACACATATAATTCATGTGCACTGCTTATGTGTATACAGTATGATCTAGCATAACATACATAACATTAAATTAACTCAAACACATATAATTCATGTGCACTGCTTATGTGTATGCAGCATGACATAGCATCGCATACAATACTTAAAGCATAAACATGCATATATAACATGTGTAACTTTTTTTTTTAAATCTATTCATTCTGTAGGCGAGATTCCTATTTACCTGATTTACACAGCTGGAATCCACTTTTCACCAAACAACATATTCTCTTACTTGCTTACTTCTGAAAATGAACACCCATTGAGAATGTGAGATTATATGTCGTGTGCTACTCTATTTTAGCAGCTTATGAAGAAAATCTAGCCCTTTACTTAAGGCATGTATTCCATTCCTTTACTGAATGATAATTTACTATGAGGATCAATTTATTAAATCCTCAAAATCTTATTTTTCTTAATTGCCCTTAACATACTTGTGTCTAAGTTAAAAAAATCAATTACTAAATCTAGTAACTTATTCTCCATAATTTACCTCATAGGACTTATTATGCTATTAAGGCCCAATTCGGCCTAGAACTTATTCACAGCATTGTAACTCTCAGGCTGTTGAAATTTAAACTCAAACGGGGTCTCTCGAATGAATGCAGGCGTTGGACCCACATCCAATCTTCGAAATCTAAGGACCTATCGTATTGGGCTCGTTGGTGCCCGTCGGGATAATTTGCTCGATAAGCCATTAAGTTCTTTAAAAGACAGCATTTTTCTTGAAAACTTTCTTTACGAATACTTTCGTTAAAATGAGGTTTAACACATAGTATTTTACTGAAATCACCTCTCGGGTTCTTTGATAACTTTTTGTTAAAAACCAACACTGTGTTAGTTTGTTTTGTTAAAACTGTGCAGTTTCTGAAATCTGCGTTTTACTACATCTTAGGGTCGGATTTTGAAAATCTGTTCTTCACGAAAATCCTTCATCTCGTCGAGATCTAAAATTGTCGTTTTTAGTGAAAACTGAAATTCAGCCTCTAAAGGCCTCGTTTGGCTGAAAACAGTGGCTGCAGTCTTTTTCCCGAAACTGTGTTGGACAGCCTGTCCGTTTTTGCAAAATGGCTTCAAACTTGCTTTTAGAGTTAAAGTTGGGTTTTCTCATAGTCATAGAAAACGTTCAAAACATTGAGAATTATAAGTTCAAATTTAGAAACACTGAAAAATCCCGCTCTAAGATCCTCATTTTCACGTTCAAAGTAACCAAAATATTTTTCCTCCAACCCAAAATAAACAACTTAAACCAAACATAAGCTTACCACGTAATACTAATCACACTAACCTCAAAACACACAAAACCAACATAAAACTCACACACCTTTATTACAGCTCATCTCCTTAAGAACCACAAATTACATCTATAAATTCAAGCTTAAAGTTGGCTAGAAAATAATGGAGAAAAGTTTTAAGAAATTACCCTTGAAGAACTCTCTCTCTTGAAAACCTTTGAACTCCTCTAAGATTTGTTAATGGCTTGGAACTAGAAGAGCATAAGAAAATTTGAGAAGAATATTTCTACATTTCAAACTTTACTAAATCATGAGAAAGAGAGGATTTAGAGTTTATACTCTTGAAGAAGTGCTTGACTAGACTCCTCCTAGAATCTTTTGATCTCCTTCTTCTTCTTCTATTGTTTGCTAGTGGCTTAGGGTTAGGAGAGTGAGAGAAAATTTTTGAAAGAGTATGGGTGGAGTGTGGCCGGTTTTGAGGTGGAGAGAAAAGAGGAGAGTAAAAAAATGAGGCATAACTTATGATGGTTCCTTTTATAGACAAGTTGGTGATCATTTATTTATCCCAATTCACTTCATTAATCAACCAATTTTTTTGTTCAAATCTCCTAAGTCATGGCCGGTTCTGGGTGGAGAAAAGGAGCAAGTATGCCATGATTTGCCTTTCAACCACTACCATCATATCACCTTAACATGAAACCCTCTAGCATACTCAACTAGCTAAAATTTGACTCTAACTTCACTATGCATGGCCAGCCAAGTGGAGAAGGAGAGAGAGAAAAATATTACCTACCCCTTGTACTTTTGTCCACTTTCTTAAGTTTCCTTTGAAACTGTTAAAAATTATACTGACTGTAAGAAAGTACTTAGCCGACAGGAAATTTTAGTTTCTAACGGTTCTTTTTCTACTGCTTATTTACAGTTCAATATTAATCCCCGACTACTTCGATATCACGTTAAATTCTTACTTGCATAATATCTTGAACTGTTTCAAGTTTTGAAATTAATTCTAGGCTGAACAAATTCTAAACTTAAATTTCTGCATTATATCCCGGGAATGACGTTGTTTCTGACGGTGTCAACTCCCGAACTCACATTGTACCCTTCTACTATGGGTATTTATCTTATGACTTTAACCTAACTATCTGATAATTAAGGATTTTCTCTTCTTTTAAAATGTCAGAGTGTTTTTTTTATACGCTACTAACATCGTGCTGTGCTTAGAGATTCTTGAAATTAAGATTCTCAAACTACATATGTACTGAAAATTCTTCCGCCTTAAAATACGATGAGAATTTATCGATCGAATTTACTTGATCATAAAACATGAACTTAGCATGAAATCTGCTACAGAATTTAAGAATGCAAATGTTAATTCTATAAATCATTCAGTCACAAAATATAGCATAATATTTTCTAGAAAAATCCTTAGCTTAAATACATAAATTGTATTATTTAAAGTCTGAGATTTTCTCAATCATACTCATTATAGGCGTTCTTGGATTATCAATGAGATTTATATGTAAATGAGTAAGGACTTGTTCTTTTGATGTTTTTGAGTTAGGTAACTTGAATGTAGATTTTGAGTTGAGTTTGAGTTATAATTTGAGTTGAAGTTGTAATTTGAGTTTGTGTTTGATTGTGTACATTTGAGTTATAATTTGAAATAAGAATCTTTTTGAGTTTGTGTTTGAGTGAGTCAAAACTTGAATTTATATTTAGATAGTATTTTAATAAAAACTCAATGCTGATGGAAAATTTTAATAGGGTATATGGGTGAGGTTTTATTCGTCTTTTCGTTATCAACGCATAGAAAAAAAAATCATCTCAATTAGAATTAAAACGAAAAAGTTAATAACATTTTTAAGAATAGAAAAAATACTATTCATTAATTTGAGTTTGAGTTTTTGAACTCGAGTTGAAGAGAAAACTTAAACTCGAGTTTTAGTCCCAAACTCAAGTTCAAACTTAAAAGAACATGAACTCAAATAAAATTGTAACTCGAGTTGCTTTTTTTAAGTTTTTCACTCAAAAACATCCCAGCCGAACAGCCCCTAAATCTCTATCTCAGAATTCAGTTGAACATGTTGGGAAGGGGTCTAACTGCCATAAACGCATCCACCATCTGAAAAGGAAGATAACAAAGGAGCTATAATTATCCCAAGAAACCAGGGTAAAGAGATGAAGTGAATATAAACCATCTAGCCAAAATGAGAAATAGGAACACATTTTGAAGTGAAGGTGTATAGCTATATGAATTTGGTTAAGGCCGGAAGCATACCTCATCAGTCACAGCAGCCCTAGCCCTGCGATGTCTTTCTACTAATTCGGTTAAAACTTTAATAAGCCGTTCCTTCACCTGACCGGTTAGCATGCGTCCTGAACCATACTCCTAGAAATGGACAAGACGAGTTTAAGATCCCAAGATGGCGTTGCTATTCTAAAACAATTTGGAACATGCAAGAACTTTGCACAAATAACTAAAACATAAATCCACTAGGAAAGAAATTTAAGTGCATATAAGCTGCAACAGAGACAGCTATCTTACCTTCTTTATATGTTCAAGTTCTTCGTCATCCTCCAGGAAAAAATTCAGGTATTTGATTGGTATATCAACCTGAATAATGTACAAGTTGAAAAATATGTTTCAAAAGGTTATCGCTTGAAGCAATCAAAATACACACGTCATTCATATTCATACACACCAAGTCAAGAATCAAACACCAATAGGCATTAGATGTCTTACTCCCAGACAATAAACAAGGAAATCAGATTCTCAACCTCGTTGTTTAATTACTTTCAGAACTTCTCTAGTCTAGGATTAAAAACAAAAGTCAACACAGTGAAGCAGCAATAGGCGCTTTTCATGACGGTTCTGAAGGAGAATATTTTTGGTACTGACAAGGTAAAGCTACCAAGATATTCCAAGCAGATAATAATTTCCACTACATCAAGACGTAGAACAAAAAAGAGGAGAATAAGAACATAGATAATACCTCAAGATTTGCTCCATACAGGATTTGTTTCGCTTTGGAATCTTGTCCACCAGAGAATGCATACCTGTTTATCTGCATAAATCAGCAAAATTGCTTTTTTACTGATTACTGCATAAAATTGCCATCCTAATAATCTACAGTTAACATGGCTAAAATAGAAGTTATCAGGACTGTCATGGTCCGTTACAACGAAAACAGGGCAGGAAAAAGAAAACGAGAGTGCACTTATATAAAAAATTTGCAGCTGATGTTATATGAACAGAAAACTCTAAACAATTCAGAAGCGAACCTTGTTCGTTATGTCCGTCACAGAATCAGTAACATATATGGCAGAATTAGGATCACTAGCAGACATTTTTCCGGTCTCTCCCTGCAAGTATTATAAGAGCAAGAAAAGAAATGAGTGATATGAAGCAAGACATCATATCAAAGAGGAACGTATTTAGGATGTAAACAAAATGAAGTTTTACTACATGAATAGCATTTTCCTTGCTGTTCAAATCATATATGATTTAACTAAGCACAACATACTTATGAATGATATTTCAAGCCAAATCATACAAGCACAGTACCTGCAATGCAGGGAAGAAAGAAGATTCAATCAGTGCAGGCTTGTTATATCCTATCCTCGGAGCAACATCTCGTGTCATTCTGAAATAAGGATCCTGAACGAATAAACAAACAGAGGCAGCACCATAAGAACGAAAACAGATACACATTTTAACTTGAATATCCTTAGACAAAACCATGCAAACATAATCTCATATATACAATGATATACAAGGAAAGTACATTCAAATCCAACAAAAAGTCCGTCATACCTGGTCAATTGCGCAAGGAATTAAGCAGCGGAGATTATCTTTACCCGAGAAAAGATGTGGAAAGGAACTAGGAAATGATGGTACTGCCTGCACAACGCCACATGAAGCATATTGTATCAATTCAGCTAATTTTTCAGAAACATTCCACCGAACAATATCATTTTACGTGTAACACCGTGTAAAGGTAATAGAAATAAAGATCAAAAGAACTTCCAAGTATAAAAAGAAAAAAAAAATCCTTGAACCACCATACATTGGGAATGAGAAATTTTCTCCCCTCATTCTCCTATGAGATATACAATAATATATACAATCATTCCAGGGACCACAGTAAAAGAACAGATAATGACTGAAATATCTTTGCAGCTCACAGAACCATACCTGTACGGGTGGAAAGCTAACTTTTCCGATGTGATCTTCCCCGGTAAAGCCAAAAATACCCACAGCCTATATATGAGAAGCAAACATTTAAAAAAATAAATAATAATAATATTGCAGAAACTTCTCAGCATCTACTAAAAAGAAAGTGAATTTCTGCAAAGAAAATTATACTTCAAAGGAAAAAAAAATGTAAAAATCACCTTATTATACGTAACACACTTTGCAACTCTCACCATGTTCTTATAGAAGGCACTGCACCAAAAAATTTAACTATAAGGATCCAGTCATCCACATTACACTAAACTCTTCAATTAAATCAGAAACTTTATGAAGCAAAGACGTAAGTTTGTTTCTTTCCACACACAAAAACATGATAAATCTAAAAAAGATTACTCTTTTAGCAAGAAGCAGCAAACTCTGGGGAAAAATCGTAAAAATAAAATAAAAGATAAACTATTTTACCAGGATTTGAGAACTTACCCACCAACGTAATCGAAATCGGAGAAGATGAAGGTTCTCGTAATGTCAAACCCGCAAGCAATAATGTCTTTAGCATTTTCCCGAGCAAGTCTCTCACATTCTTCCACGGAGAGATTTTTCCACATGCACTTCTCGTCATCGGTCAATTGAATAACCAGAGGAACCTTGAACGCGTCTTGCAAATATCTGCCAATAGAATTCATTAATAATTAAAAAAGAATAGAATTCATTAATAATTAAAAAGGAATGGGTAGGGAAAAAGTTTCTCGGGAAACAAACATAGGGAAAAGAGGAAAACAAACAACTGACTTGGTGAACATAAAGGGAATGAGATGGCCCAAATGCAAAGACTCAGAGGAAGGACCTCTTCCGGTGTAGAGATAAAACTTCTCCCCTCTCTCGTACGCATCGAGAATGTCGTTGAAATCCCTGCGCCCAAAAAATCAAAATTCAGATTGCCATTGGAACTCAATCGAAAGATCCAAAATCGGCGTTTACGGAATTGAAGAGAGAGGAAATTAGGGGGGACCGGTGAGCGAAGAAGACGCCGCGGCGGAGGAAGACGTGGGGAGGACGAGAGGTGAGACGGTGAACGCGGTCGATGAGGAACTGGTCGAGCCTCTGGCAGCCGAATTGGTCGATGAGCTTGTCGTAGTCGATCTTGCCGCTGTCCTTGGCGGCGACTTGCCATGGAGTAACAACTTGCCCTTCGTCTTTGGTTTGCTCTTCCACTTCTGTCTTCTCCATGGCTATGGCGATCTCTCCGACACTTCCTCCTGGCGCACCCTTCTTGCTTGCAGTGGAATGTGGTAACTGGGTATCGCTTTGGTTCGCGTTTGTGTCCCCTCACTCTATGGCCCGTTTGGTCTAATGAGTGATTCTGATTCTGTTGTCTTAAAAAAAAAAAAAAAATAAATAAATAGAAAATGTTTGTAGGAATAATTCTCTCATAAAATTTAAATTCAGTATCAAAATTATTAATTTAAACACGGGAAGTAAACAGACCTTAATATATTTATACTTCAAAGAATATAATTTTTTTTTTTAAACACAAGAGGTATTTTACATATTTTTACTTTAAAATTTAAACTAAAAGATAATCACTATTTAATCTCTAAATACTAGAAAAGAAGAAACTAAATACGAGCTATTTAAATTTAAATAAATCAATCATCCTTAGCATACTCTACCAACACCCAAGGACGGTGCGTTTTGCCATCATAAACTTTTTTTAGATAAAATACCTAAAACACCCTTTAAATCTAGTCAAAAGACCACTTTTGCCCTTTTACTATTCAATGCCTAATAGATCTAACATGTAATTGAATTTTATTTAAGGGTGATAGACACTGATAGTCCCTTAATTGTTTAATTAGTGATATTTTGATTTTTTTTTGTTTACTTTTGATAAAAACAACCCCTAAATTTTTAAAATGTTGATAATTAAAATATTTTCCGTCAAAAGTTAACAGATTCTTGCATATAACCTATCATGTACCTATCTTTTAAGTGAGAACACTAGAGTACTCTAAAAAAACTCAAAACCCTTTTTCAAGTAAAATAAAGCTCAGCCCTTAAAATGAATGGAAAAAAAAAATCTTTGAGTCCACAGCATCCTCCCTGCACATTATTGTTTGGTTGGAGGATTCTCATTCCGATTCAAATCATAGTTCGTAGTTCGTTACAGTGTTTTCTCTCACAAAAAAATACATGTAAATAAAAAATAGTTATAATCTCATAATTCTAATCTATGAACCAAACGTCTACCAAAGTCCCAACCACAACCTCCGGCAACGCCCTCCACTCCTCACCCCAATAACTGTCTGACGAACTCCAGCATTTGTACCACCTTCTGTTTTAGTTCTAATCGGGATTTCTCATTCGTGTAATCATTCAAGTTTCAAAAGCAGCAATGTAACATCAAAATCAAAGTTCATATTCGTTTCTATGAACTTTCGTAAATTCATATTCCATAAATTTGCATTTTAACAATGTTAGAATCTTATTTTCATAAATTTCCATTAAAATTTATATAGAAACATTTCAAAATTCAAAAGAACAAACAACGATATAACATCCTATAATTGAATAAATTGCACGACAAACCAAACAACATCAACAAACAACACTACATACAAAGAAATATCGTCCTCAAAATTTCATTTTCCGAATTCAACCATTGATCAAATCTTGTACCCTACAGAAAACAAATTCTGTCTGTAGATACAAAGTAATTTTTCAACAGCCATTATAAACAAATATGAAGAGAGAGGGGAAATGAGGAATCCCAATTTGAATAAAAATAGAAATTCCTTTGAAAAGTTAACGAGCTGGATATGATGGAAAAAAATCAACTTTTCTCAACTTTTCTCAATGCTTATTTATATTTTGGAATCTCTTTAACATTTTTAGATTCAAGGTACTATATTTAGACATTAATTCCGTTCAATAACCCTCAGATCCCACAGTTACTTGGGTGGTCGGGTTTCGTCGACAAGTCACCACCACACCCTTAATGTTCCTGCTTGCAAAATGGAGAAAGACTTGTAAATGTTTAATAAAAACATATATAGTTCAATATTTGTATACACCCCATAAAGCAACAAGTGTATTATTTAAGGCCATGTTCATTTCACCGATTCGAGTTTTGCTACAGTAAAAAACTCTAAAAAACAGTCACATCTAACTTTTTTACTACAGTAAAAAACTCTAACATAAAGTCACATCTCAACTCGAATTAAAAACTTGATTCAACGAACTAAACGGACATTAAGTGATCTCTTCATTTAAGAGCACGTCATGTATCATGATATTCGTTGGACTAAAGCACTCAGTATATTTGTAAGCAAAAATACATGTTTGTTTGATTAGAAACCTTCACAACAAATAAATATATTTTTTTTTTAATGATTAATGTTCTACATGCACGCATGATTGATTCTCAACTTACATTCATGCATGGTTTTATTTTTTAACAGAATATACAAATATATTGATCGGCACCCGTCTTTCGATTCGGCGCAATGCTATTTGGGTTTAATATTATTTTGCTATATTTAAATTTACATTTTACGAGATACTAATATTAAATATATTTGACCTTTTAACTTTGCGAAATAATGTCTAGCTTTGACGAAAAGCTGTTTATACTCTTTGCCCAGAAGCTACTGTATATAGTCAACTCTTCCTTCGTTACACTTTTATGTTGGAATAAACTAAACACTAATTTTTCATATCAACAAAAACAGGAAAAAGAAAACCTGATCAACTTCACTATATATGTAAAGAAATTTTCACTCAATATATAAGTAGGTCCACGGAATAGATATATATAAGAATTACTAGTGATGTACATAAGAATGAATAAATCAGCTTTAAGAAATGTAATTGAGTCTCATCTAATTATTCAAAAAGTAAGAAATAATTTATTCTATGAAAAAAGAAGTATAATTTGGTTCTCTTATAGCTGGGAAATAATTCCCATTCTGAAGCCAAAAGTCCAATGATTTCTCACTTATAGTCTTCAGCCAAGAAAATTAACTTATGATTTTCATATTATCATTTATTACTGGTATCTATTGGCTAATAAACTTATATATAAAAGCATTTAATAAGATTTTTTTTTATATTTTTTTTTACGAGAGAAGCATCACCTAACTAATTTTTACAAGTAGTTGTACTCAAACATTCATCTCATATGCATATAATCAAATGGTTCAGTACCCTTTTATCATTGTTGGCAGGCAAACCAATCTTTTATCCTTCCTTGATATATTGATGTACTTGCCATTTCTTTAAAGGTCAACCATCAGATCTCCATATATATATATATATATATATACACACACACACACACACACACACACACACAACGAGGCAGAAAAGAAAAGAAAAGGACAATCGTATTAAACAAAAAGCTAGAAGGGCCGGATGCCCTTTCGTAATAAGTTTATTTCTTGTCCATTCTCTCAAATAAAGTCTATTCAGATTCACCAAAAAGAAAAGAAAAATAACGTCTATATATAGAATAGATCATATATATAAATCGGAAACTGCTCATGTCTAAAGCAAAGTTGCTGAAACTGTGAAGAAAAAGGATATGGGGTTTTACTTAACATTTAGTACAATCACAACTTCTCATATTTGCTTTCCCAATATGCTACATTATGCTTTTTGTTTATGGTTCTGTTCATTAATGTTGTGCAATCAACATTAATGGAGAGGTCAACTTATATTGTTCATATAGACAATTCAGTCATGCCCAAGGCCTTCAATAGCCATCACCATTGGTATTCTTCCATTGTTGATTCTCTCAAGTCCACAAACCCTACCAATGTGATAAGTGATCATGATCATCACGATTGTCGTTTTTCACCTTCCCTTGTCCATGTATACGACAATGCTCTTCACGGTTTCAGCGCCTCTCTTACACTAAACGAGTTAGAAGAGCTAAAAAAAGCCTCATGGTTCATCGCTTCCTACATGGACCGTCACGCCACGCTTGACCCACACCTACAAATTCCTCTCTCTCAACCCGTCCACCGGCCTATGGCCCGCCTCCAACTACGGTGACGATGTCATCATCGGGGTCATTGATGGCGGGGTCTGGCCGGAGAGTGAGAGCTTCAAGGACCAGGGAATGGTCTCGTCCCAAGTCCCATCCAAATGGAAAGGGAAATGTGAAGGAGGAGAAGGGTTTAATTCCTCTTTGTGCAACTCTAAGCTTATAGGAGTCTGATACTTCAATAAAGGTCTAGAAGTTGCTTATAAGATGAGCGTAAGCAAGAATTCAGCCCGGGGCGTAGCGGGACATGGTTCCCACGCTGCTTCCACGGCGGCGGGGAATATCGTCCGTGGCGCGTCTTATTTCGGCTACGCTGAACGAACAGCCAGAGGAGTCGCGCCACGTGCTAGATTGGCGGTTTACAAGTTTGCTTGGGAGGAGGGAAGCCTTGCTTCCGATGATCTTGCAGGTAAGGATGAAAATATCTCCAAAATTTACAAATATGTCTGCAGTATAGTTAGGAAAAATATTATTTCAAGACCTTATAAATTTTAAATTTTATTAAGTTGGTATATTTTCATTTTTCTAAAAATCTTATTCGAGTATTCTGTTATTCATAAAAATATCATTCAAGAACTATGAACTTGTTTCTAAGTGATATAAAATGAAAATCCTATCTTTTCAATCCAAAAATACGAAATTATACAAAAAACACAAAATTCTATTTTAGGGATTTTCGTGTTGAGAAATGTATGTTTTTTTTTATTTTTAGATTTTATATATTCTTTTAAGAAGTTTATATTTCTTTATTTAATTATATTTTTAGATTGAAATGGTAGGACTGTTAATTCATGTATCAAAGAACGAATTTAGGGTACTTAACAAAGTACTCTAATAAAGTACTCTGATAATATTCTCCGAATATGGAAAGACCAACTTGATAAAGTGCTAAATTACATGATATCATTCAATAAAAAAAATGGTACCAGAAATTATTTTTTCCAATATAATTACGTGACACGTAGTTTATTCTGCAGGCATAGACCAAGCAATTGCTGATGGTGTTGATGTGATTTCGATCTCTATGGGGTACGACGGGGTGCCGATGTACTAAGACCCCATAGCAATAGCTTCTTTTGCAGCGGCAATAAAAGGCGTTGTCGTTTCCACCTCGGCGGGAAACGCCGGCGGAGAGTTCTACACTTTGCACAACGGAATCCCTTGGGTGCTGACTTCCGCGGCAAGCAACATCGACCGGTCGTTCGTTGGGATAATAACTTTGGGAGACAACATAACCATCAAAGGCTGGACTATGTTTCCCGCGAATGCCATTGTGGAGAACCAACTAATTTACGAAGAAAATATTTCCGCTTGCAACTCAGCCACGCTGCTGTCAAAGTTCCAGCAGGTCGGCGTCGTTTTTTGCGACAAAATGGGCTCCGTGAGTGATCAGATCAGGGCCATCACCGAGTCGAGGGTGGTCGGAGCGATTCTAGTCTCCGAAGAACCGCAGTTCTTGGAATTAGGAGGCGTGACATGTCAGTGCGTCTTGATTAGTCCAAAAGACGCCCGGACAGTGTTGAAGTGCGTGAAAAATGATAGTGATAACCAGATACCTTCTGTCCGGATGAGGTTTCAAGGGACAACTAATAGGCAAGAAGGCTGCTAGGGCTCCATCTGTAACTTCATATAGCTCTAGAGGACCTTCACTGAGCGCTCCTATGGTTTTGAAACCCGACGTAATGGCCCCGGGGACTCTTGTTTTGGCTGCTTGGATTCCGACCAACCCGGTAAGCAACATCGGGCCGAGTGTTTTCCTCTCTAGTGACTACAATCTCATATCTGGCACGTCCATGGCTTGTCCTCATGTTTCTGGCGTCGCGGCCTTACTCAAATCCGCGCACCCCCCAGAATGGAGCCTGCTGCTATTAGGTCTGCTATTATGATGACCGCCGGCATAAGGGACAATTCTGGAGGGCTCATTGTGGAATATGGCAGGGGTAAGGGACGATTAGCCTCGCCTATCGCCATGGGGGCGGGCCAAATCGATCCCAACAACTCCACAAGATTATGTCAACTTCATGTGCTCCATGAATTTCACTAGGAAGCAAGTCTTGGCCATTACTAGATCAAAAGACTACAGATGCTCGGAACTATATTATGATCTTAATTATCCCTCCTTCATAACAATTTATGTTGGTGAAAGTGCGAGAATAATTGAGAGAAAGTTTCAGAGGACTGTTACTAACGTGGGAAATGGCGCAACAAAGTATAATGTCACTGTGAATGCGCCAGAAGGCTCTATAATTAAAGTCACACCAGAGAGTTTGGTTTTTGGGAAAAAGAATGAGGAGAAGAGCTATACTCTTACCATAACCTCTGATGTATACAAGAAGAGAAGCCACGTGCGCCATAACAGAAGTGTCGCGTTTGGCGACATTATTTGGGTTGAAGAAAATGGAAATCACATTGTGAGGAGTCCTATTGTAGTCTCACCACTTTGGTCTGTTTGACCTTTTTTTTAGGGGTTACCGTTTCATTAATTTTCCCATTTGGGAACTATATATATATATATATATATATATCCTTAATTAAGGGACGACGTGGCCTTAAATGAGCGGAATCTTGAGTTTTGATGTTTTAGGCTTTTAGCATCATTTGTGGTCAACGACAAAAACTTTCCTTCGTCTCTGTTTTCTTACTCGTACTATACAAGGGCTTGTACTCCAGTTTTCATATAATGTGATGATATTCCAAGCTTTAGTAAATATATCCAATCCACGATTGTTTTCTTATTTTCTTTTTTAGAGGATTTAAGACTTTTTTTATTTCTATTATTCATGAAACATATTATCATTATGTGAAAGAAATTAATTGGAAATAAAAGTTCAAACACTGGAATATCGTTTGTGTAAACAAAGAACTACAGTACTGTTTTCTGAAGAGGGGGGTGGGGTAAGCAAAGAAATACAGTTTTTTTAGTAATTAAAGGGAAAACAAAAATTACGTGTCGTATTCAAGAATGTTGTCGTTTTATGAATCTTAGTTTGTACATTGTTGTCGTTTAATAAACTGTCTTTTAGGGTAAGTTGTCTTTTGGAACTTCTTGTCGTTTTATACTATATCTTAGCTTACATACCTTTCGTTAAGGGTATGTTACGCTTTTCAAACTTATTGTCGTTTGTTATATGTTGTCGTATTATAATGTATCTTAGTTTATATACTTTCTCGTTTTTGTAAAACGTTGTCATTTTGTGAGACATTGTCATTTAATTGACGTTGTCGCTTATTTAGACGGCTGTCGTTTGTATTTGTCGTTTCCAAGAATTTGGGATTATAGGAAGACTAGCCCACAGAAATGCATACGCTATTAGTTTAAGCTTGTCGTTTTATTAAAATATTGTCGTCTTATGGATGCTGTCGTTTGTATAAACAGCTGTTGTCTCTATGTTGACGTTGTCCCATTAAAACATACAGCGTTTGCTATTCTCCGAAAACTATGGAGAACTGCGTTAGCTAAAATTGATTCAGAACCACAAGGTAAGCACCTAGTGAGTTTTGGAAATGATATGTTGTCGTGTATGTTAATTTAAGTGAAACAAACTCGAAATAGTAGTAGGTAGAAAACAAATTGAAAAAATCTCATGTTTTAACATAATCAAAGATTTATCATAAATTCAGTAAAAAAAAAAAAATGGAATCCGTCGAAAAAAAGAAAAAAAGAAAGAAAAAAAGAAAAAAAGAAAGGAAAGGAAAAGAAAAACACTATGTGCCCTTATAGTTGATTTAGTTTATGATTCTAATTCTGTTCTGTTACAGTGTTTTCTTCACCAAAAAATTTAAATAAAAAAATTCCTGTCAATAAAACACTCACATAATTCCCAATCAGAATCACAGCCTTAACCCATGAACCAAACGGATATGCAATCTGAACTGATGGAAAATGGGCTAGATCAGGTCAAACCACAAGGAAACGATATAGCTTGAGCGAAAAAAAGGGGAGAAAAAAAGGAAGCGACGATAACTCTAAATCAAGTATTCTGCTAACTAATTGGACGATATGGAAATTGAACTGGTCCTCCAAGCGTTTGTGTTCCGGTAGCTGCTTCATCTCCCTCGCTCGGCTGAACAACTCAAAAGCATAGAATAGCCAGAACGGGGCAAAAAGATCAACATTGGTTTCAAATTTTCGATCCATAACCATTTGATAATACAGGAACTAAGTATTAACAAAGCATAATGACTAAAAAGAAAATTAAAAAATCTTAATCACGATTTTCAAAAACATTAGTGAGCCACTTCAATACAACATGTTCAACCCTACAATCCAAGGAAATCGTAGGTTTGGAAACTAGTATCATCTGTTCAGAGTTAACTGAATCAAAGAAATCAATCTGTCCAACCGTAACCCAAAATTACCACGGGAACAAACACCAACATCCCTACAATACATAATGATGCATACCGGTATGCATACCCGGTATCGACGGCTACGTAAAAAAAAAAAAAAAAAAAAAAAAAAAAAAAAAAAAGAAAGAAAAGGAACCTTCTAACCGCAACAGTTCAATTTATGATGACTTTATAGTTTATACATCTCGCGATGAATAACAAATGCAAAACCTGGGAAAAACAACCGATCATTACTAAGCCAGATAAACATTTGCATACAAATACCAAATGGGAAAATAATCATAGCACAGGCCTAGCAAGTTGTCAGGTTTGTTCCAGTGTCGATCTATGCCATTCTATCTTTACATCATTTCCTTACAAAATGTGGAATAAGAAATTGAAACTCAAGAGACATATGCATAATTTACACTCAACAAGTCAAAATGTTCCCGGGTTTTATTACCTGAATTTAATTGTACAAGGCAAATGCAAAGGCCCAAAACTGATTGTGAAATCCTCAACACCTGCCCTCGTATCTGACTAGCCTTCTCAAAAGAAATAACAAATTTGCTTCATATATCGACATTTAACCAGCTTCAGCCCCAAACCTCTGCACCAGAAACTCATCTAGTTGACCCCAGTTTGGAGTACCAGATTCACTCACATTATCAGTTGGCAGCGACCGAATGCATGCGAGAATGTGTTTTATATCACGATGCAGCCTGGATAAATAAACAAACGTTTTATAGAAATGTTAAACGTTGGAAGCCTGAAAAATAAAAAACTGTTTCTTAAAAAAATAAAAAAATATAAAACTAAGAAGGGGCAGTACCTGTCCTTTGCTTGTGGAGTATTTATCTCCATGCGCAAGAACGCTTCTGAAATCTGTGAATGGAAAATAACAACCACCTGCCTGAAAATAACAAACTGAAAGAAGTGAGTTGCAGGAATTTTGACCCAGTTGGAAAAGGGATCCCAAATAGATTGTCTTTCAAAAACTGTCAGCGTGAACTTTTGGCAGGTATAGAGTATAAATTGAATAAATATTTTAATTGCTTAGCAATTTTTGCTTGAATCAAATGAGCTTCTATTGGAATGAAACTGTTGTTGTTGCTGTGTGTGTTTTTCTTTTCTTTTTTCTTTTTTTTTCCTTCTAATGGCAACTGTTGTACTTGTTATTTATGTCGTCTTTGATAAACAAATTATTAAAAGACTACATAAAATGTTCTACTTATATAAAATAAAATAAAAATAAAAATAAAATAAAAAACTTAACAATCATGCAACTCAAGCCTTTTCCACAAAAATCTTTTTTCTTTTTCTTTTTGTTTTTTTTTTTTTGAATCACTTGGACTTAGTGCCTCAAGAAGCATAAGGTCTAAGTTTCTTGCTACCAATTCCTTGGGGCTACGCCTGCAGGACAAAGGCCCAAGGTTTACCCAATCCATGGGAGCACTTTGCATGGATCCCATGGATTAGTCGAGGAAAAATCTCAGACACCATGGTTATCAAAAATCCAAGTGTATTACTATAAACAGTTCAATAAGATTTCTTTTCTCTCTTTCTTTTTTCCAATTTGTATAGCAGTTCAATCAATTTGATAAGTCGAAGGAAAAGTCACTAAAAGTGAATACATCCATTGAAATAAGCCTCACCTAAAAATAGCTTGAACATCTACGTCATGCAAGGTTCGAGATAAAACACGTTGCAAGAATCCAACTTCCTGGAAGCAAATAAAACATGAAGCAAGTACAATAGAACAACTAAAATTAGAAAAAGCTCTGTAAGTTGGGGGAAAGATTGATATAGAGTTCATAGAATGACAAACTTATTAACTCAGGAATAGTAGTAACCTTGGTAAGAGAACGAGCAAACTGACTGGGCTGTGGGTCAGCATCTTCAGGCCTATTCCAGCTCTCCACTATCTGTGGTAAGCTCCGAAGATGAACTAATAACCTTTCTCTCATTATCTGAACCAGTTTTGTATGTATTTCATCTCGGTGCACCTTATAATCCTGTTTGACAAACATAAATAATCACTACATAATAACTAGACGGGTAAAGCACAAAAAACTTTATAATGGCGCAGCTGAATTGCCTTGGATCAAACATCCATCTAATATCAGAACACAGTTGACTATTTAAAAATCGGAGTGGTAGGATAGCAACCAAAATACTAAAGTGAACTAGCGTAGGAGTTACATACCTGAGCAACTCGATCAATCTCTGATAGAAGCAATGCCTTTCTTGTATCAGGTACTTTGAGAAAAAGAATTTGTCTGATTTCTACATACAAACGAAATAAATGAAGTCATATTTCTGGATTTTCTACACTCGGAAATACAATTGCAGGTATACAATAATATCAGGCAACCAAACAAATGGTAACTTGCAAACATTATAACATGAGAGTTGCCAAAGAATTTTAGGATGTCGCCACCATTATTTCTAAACCCTAGACCTACCAGGAATAATGGCATATATGAAACTGATGACTTGACTTGCCAGTGCCAAATGTTTAGAAGTGATGGACTTCAAACCAGATACCTGCAATACCACATGAAATTGGTTAAAAAAGCTACAACCATTGAGTGTTAAAGGGGGAGAGAGAGAGAGAGAACACGTAGAAAAAAATAATGGAAAATAAACTTTCAATGCTTGTAATATGTGGAAAAACGTAATGCGGAAAAAGGTAGAAGTTAGTAAAAGGTATCATCTCACTCAGGGGAAGAATTTCCAGATTTAAGAAAATAAATACTTGCAATAAAATCAGAGAAATAACAAGGTCATTTGTACACACATACGCAAGAACACTCCAAATCATGTTGTAGATTAGAAACTTGAGACCTTTTGTACTTGAACGTCTAAAAGATTTTTTTTTTTTTTCAGCATGGTAGGTACATACGGATAGTTGCCAGAGAATCAGTACCTGCATAGCACCAGCACCAAGAACAAGTTGACACGTTCTTGTATTGAAGAATTTAAATATTTCCGTGACACGATGAACAATTTCTGATGAAAGTGCTGGCAAAGAATTATTCATGTCAACATACTCTGACAGCATCTTCAGCAATATTAAGCCACTGGGAAAGTCCAAAGAGAGAAAAAAATCAGTCAGTTGTGCGTTGGAAAAGGGAGGCTGTAATATTTCATGTAACTAAAACAGATGATATCAAGAAGAAGATGCCAAACCCGCCAATATAATCCCAGAACAATGAAACAGAAAACAGGCATCGCTAAATATAATCCATGGGAAAAGGGAGGCTATAACAAATGGACTGTGTTAATTACTTTGACAACTTTTTAGCACCATGAACAGATTATATGGGGGAAGCTGAAAATTAAACACAACTGGAGGAAAAGAGATAAGAACTGAGCAAAACAAGAAAAAAAAAAAAAAAAAAAAAAAAAAAAAAAAAGATAACTAACCAGTTTACCATGTGAAATCCAACATCTTTGTACAAAAGGGTCTGAGACGTAGATTTTCCACGCTCCTTAATGCTACTATGATTATTTTGAGCCACGGAATTTACAACATCGGCTTTGTTCTTTCCAACTGTTTCAGCTACTGGGGCAGACTTTTCCTTCACAGTAATGTCTGTAGATATTTCATTAGAATTAGCCTGCTTGATTTGACTTTGAGAAACTGATGATTTACGGATAACAAATGAACTGACATTGCTTGTAACCACTTCACTGTAGCTGGTTTTTAAATTACCTTGTGCATCATCTGGATTATCAGATATTAATGCTTCAGAAAGAGATAGGGATGTGATAATGGCCTGAAATTCATCAGGAACATCAACTTCCACCCACGTTTCTTGGTCAAGCACGGCCCTGATTTTTGTCATCTACAATAACCACACAAGAAATCAGCCATCAGTAACATGCTTGATCCAGTACAAACTCAATAGAACTAGCGCATAGAAAGAACTAACTCGAGATTCATGCTGGAAATCAACAAAGGCTTTGGCTTGTGACTGCAGCGTTCCACGAATGCTATATCCCAATCTTCCACCTATCTGTTCATTTTCAGATTAGGATAGTATCATAAACACAACCAGTATGCTGTATTGTTAAAGCCCTTTAATAGATTCAAACAAATACCTTCTCTGTGGCAGTTATGAAGTCTTGGGTGATACTGTATATACTTAAGAATTCCTGCAACCTCAACTTAGGATGAAGCAGGGCACGAACCCCAAGTAACTTTGCCCATCTTCCATGAGCAGCATCACATGCTGCAAAAACAGCTTCTGTGTTTTCTCGCAAGACATCAGCTCTGTTTAGAATTCACACAATTCAGAATGTTGTACAACTTTCATAATGCTCCTAGTTCAGTGAATCAAAGCTCAAGCAGATCAAATCTGAATATAAAATTAAGTAAAGGGACTTAATGACGATAATGTTATAAGACTAATACAACCAAGAAAAGATAAAAAAGGTCCACCTAAAATTTTTAGACATATTTGAAGGACTTGCTGCTTCATTTAGTTTTCCCTGAACTAAAGGAACCTTGGAAATACTTCTCTGGGATGAAGAGGGCAGAACAAAACTGCCTTGAACATCACTGTCTTGTGCTGTTTCAGCAGCCACAGCACCAACAGCAATTGCAGCAGCAACTGAATCTGCAGCATAGTGACCATCCAAGTTGCACATAATCCACTCGATGGCTTTTTTCACTTCAGCAGCTCGCACTAAATGTACCTGCATTCACTAAAAGAAATCATATGACATCACTCACATAGTGGTTAACAAAGAAAAGAATTGGGCATTCATATGAAACTCAAAATTAAGCAGCTTTTGTAATTATGGAAAAAATTCAGCATTTGAGAAATAACTTATATCTGCCATTTTAAGAATAGAACCATAAGCCGATAAATTAATACTTCTAAAATCAAACATTCAACTTAGAATTGGAGTAATCTATAATGCAGCATTCTGCGGCATGGTTTTGAACTTGAGGCCTAGGTTCAAGAAGACGGCGCGCGCGCACACACACACACACATAAAACCAGTCGAGAACCCCTTTTCAATTAAAATAGATCAAGCAGGAGTCTTACAAGGAGAACAAAAACTGCTGTCGACCATTCCAGGAAAATTTGACCTAAATATGACTTTTATTCAATATATTGTACGAGACCATCCAATGATTCGGTTAGTCATCTGTATTCAATCAAATTTCCAAAAGGGTAGAAATGTCCAGCAACAGATGCTACCCTTATCATAAGCAAGCAAACAATCAAGTAAATCAGAATTCACTAGGAAATTAAGAAGGTACACTGTATCACCTATACATTTTGAGCCTCAACATTAAGTAAGTATGGAAGGATGGTCAACGATGCATTACCCGCACAATCGTAAATATAACACCTAAAAGTTGAACAAAGCTTTCAGATGACACGCTCCTCAACTTGCTTGCAAGTGATGCACTAGCACCTGTCTCCATACATTTAAAACATTAAATTAAAGAATAAAATAAACAAAAAGGAAAGATATTAAAGCAAAATGAAACGAAACCCAGAAAAAGGAAAGAGAAAAATTTTATTCATAAAACATAAACACTAATTAACTAATGTACTATGTACTTCTCACCATCTGCATCTGTTGTTCGCTCTCCAGGTGTGAGTTCTGACTCTAGAGGTCGGGAAACAAGAACTGGAAGTAGCTCTGCAACTGCATTCTTAATAGCAGTTTTCATATCAGCAGTAAGTGTGTCACGATATAACCTCAATACGGCAGGGAGCTTCGCCTGAAAGTAAACAGCAGACGATGAAGCATCTAACTATGACAAATTTAGGATTGTATTCTAATTTGATATTTAAAACTGAGAGTAAATCCAAATAAAGGAAAGGTTATTTTTACTATTTGATGCAGGAAAAGCATGCAACTAAATAAAATCTTGATAATAGAATATCAGCACAACTTCTAATAAGAGCATATCGCCACACGGCGGATAATCCATCATCACAGGGAACATTTCTCAAATGTCTCATTCTAAAATCTCTCTTTCCTTACTGTATAACTTCACAACTTCTAATAAGAGCATATCGCCACACGGCGGATAATCCATCATCAGGGAACATTTCTCAAATGTCTCATTCTAAAATCTCTCTTTCCTTACTGTATAACTCGCTAATTTTCCTGAAAAGTTTAGTTCATGCAAAAACACGCTTACTCACAGTTCTGAGAAGTCCAATAATGAGAGGGAGAAGCCGATCTCGAAAATTAGAAGTTTCTTCTTCATCCAACTTCACCTGCCAACATAAACAGTAACAGTAATCAGTTTGCTCAAAACGGTGTCTCTACCGACTTTTAAAGTCAAAGTGGGAAGCATAACGTGAAATAGAAGCACCCATAGGCACTACCAAATTAAAGCATAAAGATGACATATTAACACATGACAACTTCAGATTCAGAAAATAGCAACAGTGAATATTCAGTAAGATATAGTTCACAGATGAAGCTATAGGAAATAGTCCAAGGAAAAACTCAATCCCATACTTGAATATGATAGTCATATTCCATAGGATAATGCAACCTCCAATGGATAATTGCATTGATACAAAGGGAAAACCAGTTCAATTCAAGAAAATTGGAAACTTCAAGTTTGAGTAATTATGAAAAAGCCAAGGAAGAAAAAAAAAGAACAAAGATATCAAATGGAGGAACTATGTGTATTTATGAAAGCTTACTTCAGCATCTTTTCCATTTGCAGGAATTGACGCCCTTGCTTTAGCCTTGGATAAAATTCCAACATCTGTATTTCCGGCATCATGTATTGACGCACGCATAAATTCAGCTGAAAGAATGCTACAAGAACAAATTTAATCAGTCACTATAGACATTTTAAATTATCAATGACATGTATGCCAAAAGGATCCCTGCTTACGTACTCTAGCCTTCATCCTACCCTGAGGGAAACTACTTTCTACCTAACAAGCCAGAGAGATAAGGAGGATCCCTAGGCTATGCAAATGGTAGCACGTCTATTTCAATCACATAATAAGCCATCATAGAAAAATTGTACCTGTTTATCGATTCTATTGAAGCTCCCACATGATCACGGAGATGGCGAAAGCAATGTAGACCGGTAAGCTCATCCCCTTCCTGTTAAATAAAGGAAAATGACTAAAAAGCTTTATCCACCAGACCACAAGAGTTTACTTCCTTTTTTGCAGAGGTAATGGGAATCAAATAAGCGCGAAAGATGGCAAGGGAGGGGGGATGATTTCCCCTTCCCCAAACCCCATCCCCTTCCGCTTAGAGATAGACTGATTGGGTCACTCGCTCACTCCTCATGAGAGTGCTCTCTCTTTCTGTTTCCGGACGACGAGAGAGCGCTCATGAGAGTGCGTTCCCTCCCTCCCTACTGAACAAATGTTCATTCATGGTCCACCCCGCAAACCACTCACTTCAGAAAGTTAATCCAATAAATCAATAGGAAACTAAGAAAAGCGAGCTGATACATGCAATTGAGAGAACTAGCAAATAACAAAACTATTATCTAAAACCTAGAATAAGCCAAGATGAGTGCAAATAAGAAAAAACAATTCTATAAGTATATTGGTTAGTTTTCTAGCATGCTTCAATCTATCAAAGTTGGCAGCCCATATCATCATTTTTTTTAATTGGACCATTTATGCTTTACTTTTGAGTTTTGATGTAAAACTCCTAAGCAGCCACAGTTCAGACCAGATTTGCATGATTAGTAACTTTTGCTTCTTACAACGTTTCTTAAACTCAGTAGGCAGAAGACCACACACCATAGGAACCAATCAAATTGAAAATTGAATTTCTCAAGGCCAATTTTTCATAATCAATGCTAAAACGTGGGAAAGAGATATATAGTTTCAAAAATGCGGGAGTTACCAGTAAATGCTGTAAATCATCAGTGACATCCAAAGCTCCTGCACAATCAGCAGATCCAACAAGCTGTGCGACAGAAAAAGTAGATATGACACAATCAGCTGCAAGGTATAGTGATGGAATGGAGTTGTCACACATAATAACATCCCCTGATACTTTCTAGTTAACATTCAGCGTTTGAAAAAGAAGTGTGGATGGCAACATTAGAATTGAAACTATGGGTGCACTAATATCATGAGTAACTTTAGAAAATTTTTCTTTTTAATAAGAAACGAAATTTTATAAAGAAAATGAAAATTGAGACAGAATAAAGCATGGTAAGAACTAAGAAACAGATTACTAAGCATACACCCCTTTAATTTAGCATATTGAACCGAAGCAACATCAAACACACTTCCAATCCATTGATCATTGGCAAGCTACAATTACCTAACACTGACATTTGCCAGTGTTTGATACGGGCATATTACACTTCTACAGCAAATCGAGTAGCCAGAATTTTCGTGGAAGATGTAAGTGTCTAAGCATTAAGTTAAAAGATGTAATATTAGCAAGTCTATAATTACAAAAGGTCACCAACATAAAATTTACACGCCCAATGGTTCTAACCACCGTTATCTATCTCGTAATGTCATGAAATTATTCAAATCCTAAAGCAAAAGTGTCAATGTTTTTTGTAATTCTCCGATTCATTTCACTTTTTCGTTAAGTTATTCCAACATTTGTAGAATCTAATTACAAATTTAGGATAGAAGTAAAAGAAATAAAGTACCAATTTAAGAGCGGAAAGAGCTTGGTTGACGTAGAGTATAAGCCTGAGTTTCTGCTGAAGAGCCAAGAGATTGCTCCTGGTAGCATTCAGTTCGTGAATTTGCGAGGCGGACTCCACCAAATCCACATCCAAGAGCCTGATGGTCTCCTTCAGCTCCCGTATCCGACTGCAACCTTCCACGATCTTCACATTCAAGTCCTGCAATTGCCCTTGCGCCTCGAAGAATGAATTCGACCGCAGCGAGATCTCCTTCACCAAATGCAGCTCCACCACGTCCAGGTAGTGCGAGAGCTTCTCCTGAAGCCCCAGATTCTCCGACACGTTCGAGAACGGGCACGCCGAACGGAACGTGGCTCCGTCCTCCAACGCGAAATCCTCCTTGAAGTAGAGCGCCGGGACCTCCCTCAAGCACGCGACGAGCGCCTCACCCTGGCCGCCGATTCCGTCCAAATCCAAGCTCTCCTTGCTGGAGTGGTTCCGCACGTCCTCGAAGCGGTGGTAGGGCTCGGAGATCGATGCGACGTAGGGCTGGAAATCGGATCGGGAGACATCGGAGGCGGCCTTGGATGAGAGAGGCGCGAACTCGGGAGCGGCGACGGAGGTGGCCGACGACGACCACCACCCGATCCACGACGCCGATTCGGATGCGTTAGGGTTGTTGAGGATCGAGGAAAGGCTCTGGCTCGTGCTGCCACTGCTGGTGGTGGCGACATTGGTATCGGAATTGGATCTACTCGGGAACCTCCCTGATAAGGAAGGCTGCGACTCCATAATCACCATCGTCCATCAACCATGTTCCTATAAATGTATCTGTACCTATATCTCTGTGCTGAGTCGACTCGGATTTCTCAAAGAGTTGGATAAACCCTGCAAATATAGGAGAAATCGGAGGGATTAAAAGAAGGAGATAATGTGAAGGTGGATCTGTTTGGATGGGTAGAAAATTTTCGGGAATCGGAGTAGTTCTGATGAGAAAATGGGGGTTTGGATCTGAACTGAGAGAGAGGATAGCCAGCACCAGTAAAGGAGGATGGAGAAGAAAGGTCTAATGCCGGTGAAGCGATGACCGAACGACACACTACGTCAAGAAACCGGGCTGACCCGACTTCTCCTATATTTTTCTATTATTTTTTATTTGTCATGCAGACGCATAGTTATTTCTTTCTTATTTTCGTGGGTATTTTGGAAAAGGCGCGAATTATAAACTGTCGCTATAATTTATTTTTATGTTATGATGATAGCCCCTACTATTACTCGAGGATAAAAATATCGATACAAATTTATAAAAAAAAAAAAATTTATTCAAAAAAAAAATTTTAAATTTTTTAAAAAAAATCTCAATATTAATAAAAATATTAAAAAGAATTATGAACACTAGAAATATTTGTTTTAACACTTAATATTACTTTTTGATATCTTATAATGTAATAAACATAAAAAAGATATATAAATAAATAAGTTTGTATGAAAACAATACACTAAAACTTCTACAATAATGATATTTTTATCAGTAGTTTGTGAAATTTATTAGATAGTTTTGAAATTTTTACCGAAATATCAAAGTTTTTGACATCTCAAAGTATATTTTGGGTATAAAAAAATTTCTCTAAAATTTTTTTAAAAAAGTCAGTAAATATTAGAGAAATTTTGTACACTCAAATATTTTGAGACCTTAGAATTATCGAAATTTCAGTGAAAATTTTAAAATATTAGAGAAATTTTCGTCCCTACTATTACTCGGTTTTTGTGCAACAATGACTTTTTTTTTAGAGTCAATATTAAAGGCTTACTCAAAGGAAAAAAAAAAAAAGAAAGAAGAAGCACCCTTAATTGGTAATAATTTCGTTTTCTTCCACAGTTGAAAAGGAATTACATTAGCCCGGGAAAAATAAAAATATATTGTGTTCCTTTTTAAGTAATAATTGAATATGAAAACAATACACTAAAACTTCTACAATAATGATATTTTTATCAGTAGTTTGTGAAATTTATTAGATAGTTTTGAAATTTTTACCGAAATATCAAAGTTTTTGACATCTCAAAGTATATTTTGGGTATAAAAAAATTTCTCTAAAATTTTTTTAAAAAAGTCAGTAAATATTAGAGAAATTTTGTACACTCAAATATTTTGAGACCTTAGAATTATCGAAATTTCAGTGAAAATTTTAAAATATTAGAGAAATTTTCGTCCCTACTATTACTCGGTTTTTGTGCAACAATGACTTTTTTTTTAGAGTCAATATTAAAGGCTTACTCAAAGGAAAAAAAAAAAAAGAAAGAAGAAGCACCCTTAATTGGTAATAATTTCGTTTTCTTCCACAGTTGAAAAGGAATTACATTAGCCCGGGAAAAATAAAAATATATTGTGTTCCTTTTTAAGTAATAATTGAACGATTGGGGAATTGACTTACTTATATTGCATAAAAAAAAAATAATGTTATGGTTCTAGACTTCTAGAAAATTTACACGGTGCAAATATTGCTAAATAGATTTTTAACTTTAAAACATTACACCATTATATCATCTTTAATGTAAATGTTAATATTAATTATATCTTTAATATTCAAAAATATAATATAATATGTTATTTTTATTTTTACTCTAATACATAATACTATATGAAATGCTAAATTTACTTTTTTCTATAATTATTAAGTTTTGAAAGTTAAAAAAGTAAATTTTTAATTTTTAAAATAATTAAAAAATGTAAAAGTTACATTAATTACATAAAAAAAGTAAACATTTCAACTAATAGTAATCAAATGTCAAATTTTTTATATACTATATTTAGTGAGAAATATATCACAAAGTATAACATATGAGAAATTTAGCACAACAAATCGTATTACATTAGAGAGTACTTTTTACACTCAAATGTTAAATTTGTGATTAGCACATTAATTATAGTATTATATTCGTGTAACACCCTGAAGAATTAAATGAGATTAATAAAGGTAATCGAGATTATTAGTGTACCTAATCTGATTTAAATTAATTGAGTATTAACTAATAAGTGTTTCCGACATGTGTAAATTTAAATAATTCCAAGGTATTTAAATATTCTCAGTATTTATGTTTTTCCCAGGAGTGTGTATGGGCACATTCCTAGACTGTTGTTTTAAAATATTAACACTTGTCCATTTTATTTTATTTTCTTTTTCTTTTTCTTTTTCTTTTCTTCCTTCCTTTTCTTCCTTTCCTTTTCCTTCCCGTGCACTCTCTCTCTCACCCTCACTCTCTCGTTCTCTTACACTCACTCTATCTCCCTCGTTTTTGTCTCAAATCAAACCGGATTCGAACCAATGAAAGAATTAAAGAAGTTTTCAACATCAAGAGAATGATTCGAGGTAAGATTGCTGAAAGAACCTCTCTTGAATCTCAAGTTTTCGAATTTTAAAAACTTATTTTTGGTTCGAAACGAATCTTTACGGATTTTGAGTAAAACTTTGGTATAAATTGGAGATCTTGGGCTCTTTGGACTTGATTTAGTACCTAGAACCCGGATCTAGTGGTTTTCCCTTGAAATATTTTGATTTGGGACTGAGATTGCAGGTTTTCAGACTGGTTTTCGCAAGCTTCTCTCGCGCAGTTGGTGCCACCGGTCGACCTGTCTGGTCGACCGGATCACATGGTAACCGGTCGACCGGATTGCATTGGCCTGACCAGTCGACCTGTCCGGTCGATCGGATTGCACACCACCGGTCGACCGGTGGTGATGCACTGTTCTGTCACCGGTCGACTGGTTGACACGGGGTCTGACCCTGTTTTGCCTGAAATTGCTGTTTTGACCCCTGTTTTTGGGGAGAACCCAAATTGGCTTCATTTGGAGACTTGAGATAAATGGATTAGCATCTTTAATCCTTGATTTGAGATTGAAAACCCTTGGAATGATAACTGGAAACATGAAAATGGATTAAGGCACACTAATTGGAAAACTTGGTATCTAATTGAGATTGGATTGCTTTAGGAATGAGAATTAATCCTAAAGTGTTGTCTTGCATCAGTGATCGCTGAGAATTTAAACTGAAGGGGCTTGAGGAAGCGGAAGTCAGAAAAGGCAACGCTAGTCCCAGGTTTGATAATGCAAGGTAGGATTTCTATCCCTTTTCCTTGTGAGCCTGATTTTCAAAAAGAACTTTGGCCTTGGAAATGTTTTAAAGAAAGGGGTTGGGTTGCGAAAGAAAAACTCTTTGAAAACCATGGCTTGTTTAGTTTATGGAATCCATGGTTTGTCTTGTCCATGGAATCCATAGCTTGTCCAGTCATGGAACCTCATGGCTTACCCAGTCATGGGGCCCGCTGCTTGAGTAGTTTGTGGGGTCATAATAACGATTTCAGAAAGTTAATGAATGATTTCTTAAACTAAGAGATCTTGTGAATTGGTAAGAGAGTCCATTGCTGTAAGCCTAGATAGGATGCGGAGAGTGCATTCTCGGGGGCAGAACCCGAAACTCGGTCCGGGTAGGCAAGGCATTTGGTTAGGTAAGTAATTTGTACTAATTACTTACTGAAGCCTGTAATATGGAGATTTTACATTTATTTCCTTTGAGAAAAATGATGTGAGGTTCCGGCTGTCTGTTGAAACTGAATTTCTATTTATTCATTTACTCATTTATTTATCTACTCGCACATTTATATATTCATTTACTTTTAAGTCATTTCAAATTATATCCTACTGGGTCTTTCGCTCACGTTTTATGTTTTTATATGTATTAAACCCCTCCCAGGAGATTCTAGGAGCGGTGCACAGTAGCTGGATATTTGCTACGGAGTAGCTGAGTTGTGCTGCTGTTGGAATCAAGTGAGGATTGTGATCATCCTTTGGAATAAAGTGTAAGGAATTGAGAATTATGTAAACTCTTGAAATATTTGGATTAACTAGACTGTGGTTGATGTCTGTTGTAATGATTATTTACATGTGCATGTATGTACAATATTGTATGTCCTGTGGGGTGGAGCCCTGTGTTGTCAGAGGCTCAGGACTTAGAAATTGTAATTTATTTATGTTTTAATGGAGTTAAGTGGGGCTCGTATGGGAATCTGTTTTATTAACCTTTAATCGAGCTCCACGTCACCCACCCCGTTTGGGGGGCGTGACAATTCGTCAAATATTTTGTCAAAATATAAAATAAAAAAAATGTTTGTTTGATAGAAATTGGACATTGGTGGAAAATTTAGAAAGTATTTATCGTCTGAAAAACATGATGCTTACATTTTTCATTTAGAAGTTTTCCTAGTCCTAGCGCTCAAAAACCGACATGTCACTTTTCTAGATTATATTAGATTGGTGTGCTAATGCTTAACCGTATAAACGACAAATCATTCTTGATCTTCAAATTATATGATAAGCAAAAACGACATGAAGCTTCCTTATTGTAAGCTATGGTTTATATGATAAAGAAAGGACCAGTTGTATAGAAAATTTCTTTTGTCGTTCATACACCACACCTAACATGACAATATGACATGCCATTTGTCTTATCAAATTTATCGTCGTTTATTCACAAAACGCACCCTTTGTCGTTTTTGGCTTATTAGAATCACTACCCTTGTTCCCAAAACGGCATGATTATCGTGGAGTATTTCTAGAATCGCATTTCTCACCTTGGAGATCTCACAAAACTACTTGGAATTTGTAAACCCAAGAATCATCCATATCTATTACCCTTGTTCTTGCTTTGGAACATGCTTTTGGCCATCAAAGTCGTCCAACGAGAAATATCTTCTTCGACATCCACTAGAGTTTGAGACACAGCTAACTATTTTCAAATTTCAAGCTATTTATATATAAATATACATATGTATCGAGGTCAAATTATGTTCTTTATTTCTCATCATACACGTGTCCTTATACCTCTTGAAGAATGGGGTTGAATCATGAAATTGGTTGCCAAACCTAGTCGTTAGTTGTGAGTAGGTTCGGCTGTCCGAATGACCAGTCCACTCGCAGGGCTGCTAGCTCAGCATTCTAAAATTCAACATTAATTTCACTATCACATCAGTCATATTCCCTAAGATATTACTCATAATAGCAAAAAGAAAAAGTCAATCTCTACCTAAACTTGCTCCCTAAGTAATTTCTCTACAAGAAAATAATCTCAATCAAAATTCAAATA